AGACATTCACTCTCATCCCTAGGTGTTTTTGCAGTGATCGAAATAATACAAATGAGGGTCAAGTTTGAATGGACTCTGTTCTACCTTACACATCGTGGAATCAGACTTTGGACTCAACTGTGGTTTCCTACTGGAGCAAGGATCATGAAAAGCCAGCAGTAGGTTTTCAGAATTAACACCTGCAGTGTGATCGTTGGTCAACTCTAAAGCCTTATGTAGGTTTCACCCAAAGAGGAGAAACTTTTTAATTACCCAAAGTGTTATGTTCTTAAACACAAGCTACCTTTATAAATACTTCACCTGATGGTAAACATGTCATTCTTGTTGGAGACAGAATTGCTACATTTTATGCCTTGGTATCATTTTTCTTACTTTTTTAATATGAGTTCTCCCCTTCTGTTCTTTTGAAGACTTCACTTAGAATGTGAAATAGGCCTTTACTCATCATGTTGACTCTACCATCCATCTGAACTTTAGGTCAAAAATTTGGTTTTATTGTTTTTTGTCACTGCTTATTTGAACAAATCATTTACTAAAGCATTAGAAGAACAAATAACTAAAACAATGTGTCTTATCCCTTCAGTTTTATAAAATGAAATGGTAATCAAAAGATCTCAGGAAGAAATTACTGTTTCAGTGGCTTGTAATCTTTTCTGGATCACAGACAGTCTTTGAAGAAAAATTAATAAAAAACCACAGATAGTCTTTGAAGAAAAATTAATAATTCTGCATATATAACTTTTGAATCAGTATGTAACTTTTGGATCAGTGGACTCCAACTTCAGTATAATGGGATCCTATATACTATTTAATTATAAAACCTGTTCATTACCCCCCTCCATTGAGCATCCTCTTGAACAATGTCAGAAAGAGATGTTTCTGTAATATCCCAGTTGCTGGGGCATAAAAATCAGATAGTCTGGTGTAGGGCTGGGAGGGAACATTCTTTCCCAATAGTATAACTATCTTCTTTTGGGATTCATTGTGAAAACTTTTCTGCTTGAGTGTCCGGTTTATTTTTCAATTATTTTCTAAGTTGGGATTGTTGTGGCAGCAAGAATAAAATTCATTAACAGAAACTCTTGGAAGGAAAGAGTTTAAGAGACCATTATTTAAAGATCTGACTGACCAGGGGTTTTGTTTGTTTTAATTAGACCTACCTTTAGGGCGCCTGGCTGGCTCAGTGGGTTAATAAGCCTCTGCCTTCAGCTCAGGTCATGATCCCAGAGTCCTGGGATTGAGGCCCACATCGTGTTCTCTGCTCAGCCTCTCTGCCTACTTGTTGATCTCTCTCTCTCTCTCTCTCTCAAATAAATAAATAAAATCTTTAAAAAAAAAAAATTAGACCTAGCTTTAGAATTTAAAAATGCTAAACCCCAAAAAACAAATATTGTAGAACTTAGATCCTCATGATTCTTTACACAGTTACTTGAACTTGAGGAAGACGCATTGTTACTAGGTATAGAAAATCTTGGTTGCAAAGATTATACACAGGCATGGCTATGTGGAGAAGTAGATACCAGCTCTACAGTCTTCACTGAAATGAACAAATGCTTCACTTGCAGAGACAGAAAAATATTTATTCCCTTCCACTTAAAGAACAGTATTATTAAACTAGAAATTCTAAACTCCTTCACAGTTTATCAGAACCATCATCTGTGCTTGGAGGAATCATACACACTCCTCAATTACTGCTTTAGTAAGAACAAGAGTTACTACTAGACAACTAAGCAATGAAACTACCCAGAACAGAAGTGACAAGATTCCATTTCCTCCCAAATTCTTTCCCATATTAGATAATGTAGTTAAGCCACTTCCAATTTGAATAAATGGTTTTCATTTCTATCTCCCTAATTATCAGAACCACAAAGAGCCAAAGCACTGAGGAGGTGACTCAAGCTAAGTAGATACCAATAGGCAAATGAAGAATTAGTGTTGGTCCTTTACCCAATCTAAATCTTCTAATACAAACCACCGCCTCATTAATCAGATGATTGCTCTCACCTCCCGCTGCCTCTCAATCTGCTCTTATTACTGATTCTCCATTCTTCATATACCAATGACAAGTACAAATTACAAATCAAATTTTATCAACTTCCTGTTTTAAAAAATTATTTCACTATTGTCCCATTGTAAGTGGAATAAAAAAATTATTTCAGCACTTCCCCATTGTTAGTGGAAAAAAGATCACCTTGCAGGGCTTCCAAGGCCCTGCCTGATACTAGCGTTTACCTCTTAGCCTCTTTTTACACACTCCGCCTTGTTTCTAGATTCCTCCCACACTGGCCTCTTAGGGCTGCGGTAACCCATCGGTTTTTCTTGTCATCTCAGTAGTTTTGCCCATGTTGTTCTCTTGCCTGATCCATTCTTGCCCATCTCTTAGATCTCAGCTTAAGCGTTCCTTCTCCAGAGACTGTCCCTGAACCTCAACCTAAAGGACATAAGTGTCCTGTACTTTACAGGTCACAAATTGTACTTTTGTGAATTAAGTACTCTTTGGCTACACAGACTGTAAACTCCAGCGAGGGTAGAGATTATGTCTTCCATGTGCTTTTTTATCCCTAGCTCCTATTTACAGTGTCTAGTAGGTGTACAGTGGAAACTTATGGACTAAGTTAGGAAATTGAAAGAATTATATTAACAGCTTAGATTTAAGACTCAAACTGAGCTCATTCATACTGGCACTAGCTGACAATTAGGCTTGTAGTTGATAGTCAGCCTTACTAGTAACCAGAAGACAAATTTAATAACTTTTGGCAATTCATGTGGAGGGGCTTGAATTTACCCATGATTAGCATTCCCTGGTTCCCCTCGATAGGAGCATCCCTTTCTGAGCATAACCACTAACAAAGTCTTACATGTGCTCATATATATGTATACAAAGTTCTTGCCAATTCTACTGGAGGTGTGCCCTTTCTTTAGCAACACCTTAATGAACTGTCTCATCCCTCCCATGCAATGACCAAATCCCCGGCTCAACAATGAGTTAGTTCAACCATTCATCTCAACATTTCTCCTGACATACAAATCTGTCAACTGTGGCAAAGATAAATTCCCCATCTGGATCTAAATTTAGGATATCTGGGGGTGCCTTGGTGGCTCAGCTGATTAAGTGTCTGCTTTCAGCTCGTTGTGGTCCCAGGGTCCTCGGATCGAGCTCTGCGTCGGGCCCCCTGCTCAGCAGTTAGTCTTTCTTCCTCTGCTCCCCTCCCCAACACTCATCCATACTCTCACTCCCTCAAATAAAATCTTCTCTTTTTTAAAGATTTTATGTATTTGATAGATAGCAAGAGCTGAACACAAACGGGGAGAGGGAGAAGCAGCCTTCCTGAGAAGCAGGGAGCCTGATACGGTGCTCGATCCCAATAAATAAATTTAGGCCATCTGTACAGGCCCCACAATCACCAGCATGCCAAAGAACTTGGCTGAGAATCTCTTCCTGTATGTGAACATCCCAATGAAAACTTAGGTCTGCTCGTATACACTTCTCAAAACTCGTTTTATGCCAGCTGAAAGGGTGGGAAATAGTCTGGAGCCAGTGCTACAATACCAGGAGTTCAACATGTCTTAAAAATCCACTAATGTAAAAAGCTAATCCACCAAATGTAATGGAGTGGTCCCAGGACAGAATTAAAACTAGTTTTCCTATTAAGGCTGGACAATCACTCGGGGCTTATGAAGTGAGGAGTCAATTCCGTTTACACAGTTAGCCATTAAAAACGTCCTACAGGGATGCCTGGGTGGCTCAGTCGCTCAAGTGTCTGCCTTTGGGTCAGGTCATGATCCCAGGGTCTCAGGATGGAGCCCTGCTTCTCCCTCTCCCTCTCCCTCTCCCCCTGGTTCGTGGTCTCTTTTCTTTCACTCACACTCTCTAGTAAATAAATAAAATCTTAAAAGAACAACTTCCAAGAAAGTGAGACATTTTATACGCAAGCCAACTTGTGGGATATGGAGACAAGAGTTTGGGGGCAGGTGAGATGCTTCTCATCACTGATTGCAAATAGCTATCTTCTACAGTCAGCAATTAATAGCTATGAAAGATCAAACCTTCATGCCAGTGGTTAAAAAGAAATCTTTATTTTACAAAATTAAAAACATAAATAATATTTACAAGCATCTTAAATACCAGCTTATAATACTTGACATTTTCGAATCATGTGAAACTGAGTTTTCCATAAGCTTTTAAAATGTAAGACTATTTATTCATCCACTTCAGTGAGTTACCAGTTTTCATATTTCAAAGGGGTTTTTGGTTTTTCTAAATTGTCCGTACTGCAGTCATTCAAAAAACAACATAATGTACTTTTTAAATGACTAGTTTAAGGAAAAAAAAAAAAAAAATCACAGTCCTGAGCTTCCTACCCCAGTTGTGGGATATTACGCCAAGAGAACGCTAACCAAATTCCTTACTGCCCTGTTTACATGTACCACTATTAACTTTTCAAAGACTCACAATCCTGGTACTCACATAATCAGTCTCCCTGACTTCTCCTCAGGTTCGCCAAAAGGAAAAGCAGGGAGAACAAAGAGACGCGGAAAAATACAAAAGACCATCTGAAATCGCATTACTGAAAATATAAGAGTTATGGTCCAAAATTCTGATCTTAATTCGTTCAGGAACAAATATAGGATATTTTATTATATTAAGACTTAAAATGATTGCAAATGATAGACATGTGACAGCAAATCTCAGTGGCACACTGGAACACAGACTTAAAGACACATAAAGTGGTTAACTTAATACCCATTACCAATTCTGGAGTTCCTCATGAATAAAGGGTAAACAGATTCAGAAGAATTTTGTTTTTAATAAAAGTTTTCATTATCTGGTCTTCAAAATTTCAGCACTGAGTAATTCATTTCCACATAATAGCATATAATGAAAGACTAACAACGTGTGAGGAAAGCAAGGACTAGAGAAAGGTCCCCCCTAAAAAAAAAAAAAAGAAGAAGAAGAAGAAGAAGGAAAAGACATCTATAAACGAATTCACAAAACACCCATTTTGTTCCACTTTCCCTGGAAACCCTCAGCTCAGCTGAGAATCCCATCAAAAAGTCTTCATCCTCAGAGAGTAGCAAGACTTAAAAGAAAAAGGATGACAACAGATAAAGAGTTATATATATTTTACTAGTCTTTCTGACTTGTCCTGGATATTTAAAAAGGTGTCAAATGAGCCATGGATGCTGGTGGCAGGAAGCAACTGGAGAGAGGCTTGGGGATGAGGAATAGGGAAGACTTGTTTACAAATTCAGAGTCAACTCCCCTCTTCTGGATCTAAAATAAAGACATCTTTTGTCTTCAATACAACAAAAGTCTTTCAACGCAGATGGTAGGTACAGTTTGCTCAAAAGAAGCATTTTCTCTTGGGGAGGAAGGGAAGTACACAGTCAGCAGAAAAGCACCACTCTGGGATCAGGCCCGCCCTACAGAGCCTCGACACCATCACTGCTGCATGTTGTTGATGATAGCCAGAATGCTCATCTTCTCCTGGGCAGAGTCCACATCCTCATTCTGCTTCTGGGCCACTCCTGTGCCTAGGCCATAGAGTCGCCCACAGTATTTGGCATCATCAATACTGTCCTCAAAAAACAACTGCAGGACAGGACAGAGAACCCACGGTGAGAATCCCGCCAGCAGTCATGCCAAGTCTCAACACTACTACATCAGCACCTCCCAGCCGTCTCCAAGCCCTGACGATCTACCCAACTAGGAAGTAACTTCATAAAGAAAGGCTCCAAATCTCTCCTCTTACATAGTCTTTTCATGCTCCCTTCTTAATATATAGGCTCTCCTTTCTGAGCAGACTTCGACTCTCCAAGAGTTCTTCTACTGCCAGGATCTGTGGGCTGCTGCCACTGTTTAGTACAACCATCCCCATCTCCTCCCTTCTCTTTAACAAGCAGTGCGGTGCTTAGGAGCTTGGGCTCTACACTCTGTGATCTTCCAACTCTCCTTCAGCCACGGTTCCCTATCTAGAAAATGGGCCAATAGGAGGCCTTTCCAAGTGAGAGAGTGGATATTACACACTTCAGTAGGGTACCTCAACCCTGGCCCTACTGGGCAGGGTAATTCCTTGTTGGGGGCGGGGTGGGGGTGGTGGCATGAAGGGAGCTGTCCAGTGTACCGTAGAATGTTTAGCGAGGTCCCTGGCTGGTAGTGGGCCTCCCCTCTCCTGCTCTAGACTGTGACAACCAAAAATGTCTCCAGCCATTGCCTAAGCAACCTCGGGGGAGAATGATGCCACCAGCTTTGTTCTTCTTTCTCAGGACTTCTACAGTTCCACACAAACTATAAGATCCTTGTTCTACTTCTGTGAAAAATGCCACAGGAATTTTGACAGAGACTGCACAGAATCTGTAAGACTGCTTTGGAAAGTACGGACATTTTCAGAATATATATTCTTCTAGGGGCGCCTGGATGGCTCAGTCGGTTAAGCATCTGCTTTCAGCTCAGGTCATGATCCCAGGGTCCTGGGACTCAGCCCTACGTCGGGCTCCCTGCTCAGTCGGGAGTTTCCTTCTCCCTCTCTCTCAAATGGATAAAATCTTTTTTTAAAAAAAATGGATATTAATTCTTCCAATTCATGAGCCCTAAGTATCTTTCCATTTATTTGTGTCTTCTTCAGTTTCTTTCATCAATGCCTTGTAATTTTCAGGGTACAGGTCTTTTACCTTCTTGGTTAAAGTGGTTCCTAGGTACTTTATTGTTCTTGGTGCAGTTGTAAATGGGATTCTTTCTTAACTTCTTCCTGACAGTTCATTATTAATATACAGAAACACAAGATATTTGTATACTGATTTTGTATCTTGAAATTTTACTGAATTCATTTACTCTAAAAGCTTCTTGGTGGACTCTTTCGAGTTTTCTATGTACAATATCATGCCATCTGAAAACAGTGACAGTTTTACTTCCTCTGTTCTAACTTGGATCCCCTGTATTTCTTGTGCTTGCCTAATTACTCTGGCTAGGACTTCCAATACTATGTTGAATAAAAGTGGCAAGAATGGGCATGCTTGTGCTGTTCCTGATTTTAGAGAAAACCTTTCAGCTTGTCATGGAATATGCTGGTTGCCAGACATTTGACAACTCACAAAACTTAAGCATAAAATAAGTGAGTGTACAAATGTGTCCATATTAGAGAAATCAAAAGAAAAGCAAATTACAACAAGAGAACTGCAAAGAACACCAAGTATATGTCTAGACTTGAATAAGCTGAGGGAGCCTCCATTTCAGGGTAACTTTGCCTCCCGAACTGCATATAATATACTGAACATCATAACAAACAAACAAAACAACTACTTTCAAAGTGATCAACTTCCATCAGAACTATAAATTTTCAACAAATCTCAGCCCACAAAGAAAACCCATCTCCCTTACCTCTTTCATCCTGAAGAAAGCCATTCCTGTCAGCAGCGAGTCTGAGCCTGCCTGGTGTTGCCTTCCAATTCTCTGCAAATCCAACTGATCAGCAACTTCCTGAAGACCACCCTACAAATGTAAAGAAAACAAAGAGAGTATTTCAGACCCACCCCTCCTCTACTGGAATCAACTAAGTCCACTTTTTAGTTTAATTCTTTTGGTGATGACAAGTGGGAACAGGTCATTTACTAAGGCCTTACCCCAGCAATATCCCCTTTTAACCCTCCAAAAAATACACTGTGTTATATTTCACTTTTCATTCCTTCCTTTTACATATCATTAATTGTATCAGACCTCTGCCCCATTTTAAAGTCCTAATGGCTATAAAACAAGATTGAGGAAACAGTAAATACCAATCCAATTCTAGACAGAAAATCTCTTACGTCAACAACTTACTAGGGTGCTGAGTTCTTGAACTATCTAGGGTTAAGAACCCCTCTGAGTCTGGTACACTACAGACCCCATCCCTAACAAACTACATACACACCTCATGCCACCAACGATTTCACTAGGTTTGTGAGCCCTAAGTGACAAAGGCCTCCCCCAGAATAAGAGAAGCAGAGGGATCCCTTCATCCCCAGATTAAATACATTCACCACACAAATCCCTGTGCCAATCAGCTCTACATACACCCACCTCAGTACACCTAGAAGGCACTGAAGAATGAGTAAGGAGCAATAAATAATAATAATAATTTAATTTCTAAAAATAGTGGTAAAGCAAAATGACAAGCCTGTTTTGTCTTTTTTGTTGCTAAATAGCAACAAGAAAAATATTGTGTACCTTAAGATTTTTGCAGCTCTTCATCAGGTATTTCACATCATAAATGGATGGGAAAAAAAGGTTCAGAATATGAAAGAATTCATGTTCCTCTTCTGGCAAACGAGAATCCGTAAGTAACTTTACCATGTAGCCAAAATCATAGCCACTACAAGAGAGAATGAGGCAGTGAGCTGAAAAAGCAGCAATTACCAGGCCCCCGAGTTCAACTGCTTTATTTCTCAAAACTTAATGGTGCTATCTTGTAACTTTCAGTTTTCCATAATCTATCCTACTGTAATCTGAACTTTCCCTCAAATACCAACAAACCAGACTAATATGAGAGACTTATAAGAGAACCCAAGGGGTTACAAATGTGGGTTTTATTCATCATAAACTACAGGCCAGCCACTTACAGGACAAGAAAAAGATGATCAAGTGCTTTGATCCTCCCCACCCTCCATCTTTCCACCTGGAATGTACCTACTGATAGCCAGCCACATGACAGAGCCCAGTACTGTGTGAAACAAACCAGTATAAGCTCCAAAGTCTTTTTTGAAACAACTGAAACATGGCTAAGTTACCATCTGAACTCCATAACGGACAATAGGTAGTTTAAAAAAAAAAAAAAAAAAGCCAATAGGACTGCAGCAATAACTTAAGAATGCAATTTCCCGAAGCAAGGGAAATACACATTATCTGGGACTGACCTATGAAACGAAAGCCATTTGACGTTGTCACAGAGAACCACCCCTGATGTCATAAGCAGCTCTGCAAAGTGCAATGTGTCAATCCCCTCCTCTTCATGCTTCTGAAATTGCAGTCCAGAGTTAGCAAGGAGATCTATGGAATCCTGGGAGTACATGTCCTCTCTAAAAAAGAAGGTATTCACTTCTTAATCTAAGAGAAGTAGTGGGCAGCAATATTAACATCACCTTGTAATTACAGAACAAGTATTCTTGAAATGCTTTCATAATTTAGTAACAGATCAACTCATTCTTTTTTTTTTTTTTTTAAAGATTTTATTTATTCATTTGACAGAGAGAGAGATCACAAGCAGGCAGGGAGGCAGGCAGAGAGAGAGGAGGAAGCAGGCCCTCCGCGGAGCAGAGAGCCCGATGCGGGGCTCGATCCCAGGACCCTGGGATCACGACCCGAGCCGAAGGCAGAGGCTTTAACCCACTGAGCCACCCAGGCGCCCCAGATCAACTCATTCTTTCCAGTATTCCAGCAAGCATGCAAAGTAGATAATCTTATCTCTGTGGCCGATGGAAAAGACTTGCCCTCACAAAATAAATTTCTTCATTATAAAAGATCCACATTTCTCCCATTATTTATAGAAAAAGAGAATCAACCAATACAAAAATATTTAAAATACCAGAAAACTTTTAAAAATGTCCTTATAATATTATATCATAGAAACAACTGCTAATAACTCAGTTTATATATTCTTGAAGGCTATTTTCTCTACATACACATACACAACTCCAGCCTTATATCTACACAGCACAGACCATCTTTCCAGACCAATGCTCAGAGATTACCACATCCTTTGCAACTCTGGCATAATATTCCCCTGCAAAGATACACCCATCAATTTAAACAAAGGAATATTTATAATGCCACATATCACAAAAGTAGGAAAATAAATTATGTAACTCCTTTCCCACTAGATTTCACTGTTATTTCACTTGTTCTTCACATAAACTTAGGACAGACAACTAGGAAAAGAAAAACACAATCTTAAATTTTTTCTACTAAATTAAAACCAGTGTTGAATCATTCTGTTTTGTTCCACCTAAAATAAGCATTGTTTTAAACACACACATAAACTCTACACTAACAAACAACTCTTATTTTCCTTTGTGTATTAATTACCATTAAGGCATAAATAACAGGCTTTGAAAATGGACTGGGAAGAAAACGCAAATAAAGGAGAGATCCAGATCATCTCCCCAAATTATTCCTGAAACTGAAATCTCCAAAGCAGATGAACAATCAAAACATTATTCCTGAGCTATCAAATGCTCCTGGTGCGGCTAAAGAAAGCAGTACTTGAGTACTGTGACCCAATCAGAATTACCTAAAACTACCTCATATAATCAGCAAAATGAGAGTCTCCCCAAAATTTTCCCCTTAAAAAATGACATCATCCCAGGGCACCTGAGTGGCTTTCAGTTAAGCATTCAACTTTTTATTTCGGCTCCGGCCATGATCTCAGGGTCTGAAATCAAGCCTGACATCAGACGATGCACTAACTCCAGACCCCCTCTATTCCTCCCCAATCCTCCCCCACACTCACATGCACGCTTTCTCACGTGCTCACTCTCTTAAAAAAAAAAAAAAAATTACATCGTCATCAAAAAATTAAAAACAGAACTACCAAATGATCCAGCAATCCCACTTCTGGGTCTATATCCCAGAAGCATGAGAAGCGCGGTCATGAATACGTTTGCACATCCGTGTTTATAGCAGCACTACTCCCAACAGTCAAGAGGTGGAAATAACCTAATGTCCATCAGTGAATGAGCAGATAAAAAAATGTGTTCTAGGGGGCCTGGGTGGCTCACTGGGTTAAGCCTCTGCCTTCGGCTCGGGTCATGATCTCAGGGTCCTGGGATCAAGCCCCGCATCGGGCTCTCTGCTCAGTGGGGAGCCTGCTTCCCCGCTCTCTGCCACTGCTCTACCTACTTGTGATATCTCTCTGTCTATCCAGTAATAAATAAAATCTTAAAAAAAAATGTGGTCTACTATACAATGGAATATTATTCAATCTTTGCTATAGTCTATGCCACAACATGGATGAACCTTAAGGATATCATGCTACGTGAAATACGCCAGTCACAAAATGACAAATATTTTATGTTTCCACTTATATGAGGGAGCTAAAATATTCAAATTCATAGAAACAGAAAGCAGTATGGTGGTTCATCAAGATCTGGGGAAGAAGAAAAAGTTGTTTAATGGGTAGAGAGTGTCAGATTTGCAAGATGAGAAAGTTCTGGGGGTCTGCTTCACAACAATGCAAACATACTTCAACACTACTGAAGTGCAGACTTAAAAATGGTTGAGATGGTAAATTTTGTTTTGTGTTTTTTACCACTCTTTTAAAACATCAAAATTCACTTCAGTTTCAACTACCCTTAATTAACATCTACTCATTTCCTTTTTTCTTCTATTATGAAAGAAATAATAATCCTGTTTATACATAAGGAAACTGAATTATAGAAGGTAAAATTACTAATCCCAAATGACCCAGCTAAAAAATGGCAGAACTGCAATTTATCTCCTAACTGGAGAATTAACTTTATTTTTCATTTTGAACAGACTTATTGAGCTGTAATTCACATACTAAACATTTACTCATTTAAAGTATACACTTCTGGAATACCTGGGTGGCTCAGTTAGTTAGGCGTCTGCCTTCAGCTCAAGTCATGATCCCAGGTCCTAGGATCAAGCCCTGCATCAGGCTCCGTGCTCAGCGGAGAACCTGCTTCTCCCTCTACCCGCCCCTCTACCTATGATTTCTCTCTCTCTTTCTCTCTCTCTCTTTCTCGGATAAATAAATAAAACCTTTAAAAAAGAAAATGAAGTAGGGACACCTGGGTGGCTCAGTCCTTGAGCATCCGCCTTCGGCTCAAGTCATGATCCCAAGGTCCTGGGATTGAACAGGCTTCCCTGCTCATCGGGAAGCCTGCTTCTCCCTCTCCCCCTCTCCCTGCTTGTATTCACTTTCTTGCCTTCTCTCTCTGTCAAATAAATAAAAATAAAATCTTAAAAAAATAAATATAAGTAAATAAATAAATAAAGTATGCACTTCAGGGTGTCTGGGAGGCAGTCAGTTAAATGACTGACTCTTGATTTCAGCTCAGGTCATGATCTCAGGGTCATGAGATGTGTCAGGCTCTACTCTCTACACAGAGTCTGCTTGTGACTTTTTCCCTCTTCTGCTACCCCTCCACCCCCAACTCTATACTCTGTCTCTCAAATAAATCTTTTTTAAAAACTTACAAAAGAAAATATGCAATTTAATCACCTTTAGTATTTTCAGAATTGTGCAACCACCACCACAGTCAATTATAAACCATTTCATCACCTCAAAAACAAAACCCATACCCATTATGCAATCAATCCCCAGTACCCCATAATCTCACCACCACCTACACCCTGGACAACCACTAAACCTATTCTGACTCTATCAGTTTGCCTATTTTGAACATTTCCTATAAAAAGAATCCTATAATAAGTGGTCTTTTGTGTCTGGCTTCTTTTCCTTAGCATGTTTCCAAAGCACATCAATGTACAACATATATTACTACCCCTTTCCTTTTACTGTCCAAAAGCATAGCATGGATATACCATATTTATTTTATCCATTCATCAGTTCACAGACATTTGGATTGTTTCCACTTTGGGACCTTTATAAATAATGCTGTTATGAATACTCCCATACAATTTTTGTATGGACGTGTGTTTTCATTTCTCTTGGGTATATGCCTAGAAATGGAATTGCTGGGTCACATGGTAACTCTACGTTTAACCTTTTGATAAACTGCCTGTTTTCCAAAGAGGCTACACCATTCTACTTTCCCAACAGCAATATAATGAGGATTCTAACTTCTCTACACCCTTACCAACATTTGTTGTGTCTTTTTTATTACAGCCATCTAATGGGTATGAAGTGGTATCTCACTGTGGTTTTGATTTGCATTTCCCTCATGACTAGTAATGGTGACCATCTTTTCATGGGTTTATTAGCCGTATCTATATGTTCTTGGGAGAAATGTCTATTCAGATCTGATGCCCATTTTCAACTGGATTGTCTTTTTACTGTTGCCCTATAAGAGTTCTTTAAGAGGGACTTTACTTTCTGAGATTCCTTATTCCATCGTCTATTTAACTGCTGTGTCCAATCCTTACTTGGTTTCAATGGAAATAAAACTTCATATTAATAAAAACAATCAGAAATCACAGTCTGCACAAAAGTGGTAGATCTAAGAATAACACTGAAAATGTTTCAGACACTTACGTAAGGTTAAATTTGAAGTTGAACTGCCAAGTGTTGATTCCAGAAGGATATTCTCCCTTTTCATTTGTGAAAGTAAGGCCCAGCTGGATAATTTTTAGAAGGTCAACATTGCACCGTAAAAGCTGATACTGGTAATCTATGGAACTACGAAATTCACCAATTGGTCGTACCACAACACCTGGAAATTCTGTGTCCTAGAAAAGTAAAAGGTCTCTCATCATAAGGTTTCACAGAAGGATGCTGAGAATTGATAATTCATAAATAAAAATTTTATCTTAATTTATAAAAGTTATGTGACAAGACCCAAGCTTGGGCACAAGTATTAAAATACTAATCTCATTGATACCTACACAAGGAGTACTAGAATCATGAAGTTTTGGGCAGCAAATTGGAAATCCTAGGCAGAATGTGAGTAAGAATAGATGACTAACTATAGATTAAGAACATTCTATATTCATATGCAGTGAATTTAAAAAAGTTTAGGTTTCGGGGCGCCTGTGTGGTTCAGTAGGTTAAGCCACTGCCTTCAGCTAACGTCATGATCTCAGGGTCCCGGAATCAAGCCCCAGTTTAGGCTCTCTGCTCAGTGGGGAGCCTGCTTCTCTCTCTCTCATGCTCCCTCTGTGTGCTCACTCTCTCTCTAATAAATAAATAAAATCTTTAAAAAAAAAGTTTTGGTTGAGAACATGTATGAATAAAAATACAAATATAGGGAAAGGAAATAGCTATTCAGAAAAAAACAACAGCTACATTTATCGTGAGTAAAAAGCCTGGAACAAGATCACAGTTTTAAATATGAGGCTAAGGACTTACTGCTTATGAGTAATGCAGATTAGAGCAAACTAGACAGCACATGCCTCCTCTAGAAGAGGCCGTCAATATCACCATGACACACATCTGCCTCTCCAGCCACTCAGTAACATGGAAGAATGTGGATCCTGTAATGCCAGATCTTCCCATTTTTTTCCAGAGATGTCAGAAATCTGGACTTTAAAAGAGATCTCTTAATTTTTACATGGTGATAGCTAATTTTTAAAAACCGTTTTTAAACACTGTCAAATTCACCCTATCTGCAGGACAGGACAGACCTGCCCTATGGACTGACATAACTTCTGCCTTAAAAACAATTAAACACAAAGTAACATTACAAAAAAAAATCTAAGATATTATAAGTTACATCCTTCTCAGACACACTGGCTACCATGTTTTATAAAAGCATCACAACCTTCCACCAAGTTTAATTTACCATGGGTTAGTGTTATCCTTTCTTTCAAAATCTCACATTGAACATTCCCTAAGTCCATAGAAGAAGGTGAGTCAAACAGAGCAGAGCTCTTTACCATAGCAATATAACTGTAACTGAGCACAATTTCTCGGATCTTCCTCATCTCTTCTTCTAGATTGCTGGCCCAGACTTCACAGATAACTTGGCTGTTCTCCACAAGTGCTGCAGGCATTTTGAAGAAACTTGGTAAGTCACTTTCAGCTGACTCTGTAAGAGGGTAAGCCGTTGGTTGATCTGATCTAGATTCAAAAACATATTTTGAAATCACATAAATTTACAAACTGGGATAATGTCAACAAAGATTTAAAAAAATCACTTCATCAGTTTAAGCTAAAACATTAAGACTATTTACATTAATTCTTCAGTTTATAAGGTAGGGAAATTTGCCTTTGTCAAGACAAAGACACACACACATACACACACACACAATTTCTTTAACCCAAAGAAACTAAAATTAAGAAATCTGAAGGGGATGCCTGGGTGGCTCAGTTGGTTAAGCGGCTGCCTTCAGCTCAGGTCATGATCCCAGCGTCCTGGGATGGAGTCCCACATCAGGCTCCTTGCTCAGCAGGGAGCCTGCTTCTCCCTCTGTCTCTGCCTGCCACTCTGTCTGCATGTGCTCGCTCTCACTCGCTCTCTCTCTGACAAATAAATAAAATCTTTAAAAAAGAAAAAAAGAAATCTGAAGAAACTGGGGTGCCTGGCTGGCTCAGTTGGTATAACATGTGACTTCTGATCTCAGGGTTGTAAGTTTCAGACCCATGCTGAGTATAGAGATTACTTAAAAATAAAATCTTAAAAAAAAGCAAAGAAAGAAATCTGAAGAAACTTTTGCCCAAGCTGCCCTTTAGCACAGAAGTGAAACCACTACCCTAAATCAGTATTTGAGCCCTTTTCAGACTATCTAAAGATTAAAATAGGCCCTAATGACCACAAATATGTAGACCTCATCTATGACTTTTACACTTTGCACAGAGACCAAATCATGGAAACATTTTTAAGGAATCACTTTAGCCAGTTTGAAGGTATCAGGAACTCTGAAAGCCCGAAAGAATGTAGACCTAAACTCTCACATGTAAGTCTTAACAACTACATCGTGAATATGGTCATGGGACTCCTCCCTCTGCCCCCTATAAAAGGGGAAATTCTTTTTCTCCACAATCCAAAAGTCATATATAAACTAAAGACAATTAACTAACTTAATATAGTGCCTCTTTAGATCTGTGCAAATAGATCATGAAGTGAGGGATTTAAGTGGTAAAAACCAACCCCACTTGCTAATTTGAAACTTTAACCACCACAATGAAAGGAAGAATTGGAATTATTAATGTCTACTTTTAAACACATAATAATAGAAAGAAACTACGCCATTCAACAAAAGGAACAGAGAAGATGGCAAGTATAAATAATTCAACTAGAAAGCATAATAGGAGTTTAGTGCATATTCTGGGAGGAAACTATGGAAGGGTACAGTATTCTGCAAGATAAAACCCAACATGATTCAGCTTCAGAGTAATGCCGTTATTATAATAATGAGATGCTTAGTTACAAAAAGACCAAAAGGAGCTTATCATAATGGCCTTTATTTAAAAAGGTGACCCCACCACATGCACCCTCAACGTAAGAGTGGGCTCCAGTACACAGATATATATTCAAAGGAAAATTCCTAGAAATAGTAAAATGAATCTTTGCTTCCTACTTTCAAGACAGGCAGATGCAATGGTAAGAATCTAGATCAAAACGAAACTGTCATCCTCAAATGTTATCATTTCTCTGAGAAAATTCTGAGAAACTGATCTTTTGGTTTGTCACCCTGGAAGATCCCATTATTTAAGTACCCAACACTTTAACAGCTGTTTCTCTAGAATTATAATAGACTGACTATAATTACTCTGAAACTTAAGGAGACAGTAAGTTCCTAACAAATATGGGTGGATACTTCTCAAAGACAGAATCCGTTTCTTCTCATTTCAGTCCTGTACATGATGGGCATGAATTAAAGGCTTGCAAATGAATAAAGAACATCCAATAAGGGCAAAAGTTCAAGCTGAGTATGGAATAAATCCCATGATATAATCCTAATTAAGAAAATGTTAGTATTCTGATTAGATTATAAACTGTGTTTAAGGTTTTCCCCTGCAAGAGGGCACAAAGCCATTTCTATGCCCATTAATGTTAAATCAGTACCACTCCAATTCCTTATTTTTCTAACTTAAACAATGCACTTCCTTTTTGGTGTCATTTCAAGTACTACCATAAACTACTTTAGGGGAAGTGGGTATGACCGTGAAGACATTTCCATAAAAGCAAAGCACCAAAAAGGACCCAAGCAAATAAATGCCTTTGGTCTCAAAGCAGAAAAAAGCAGGCTTATAAAGAAGACAATTGGGTATTTACACTAAATTCTTAGAACCAGCTTCCTAGTTAAGCAGCTCTTAAGGTTGTGTCAAAAGAACTCAGGAAATATCCTGAAGAGGCTCCCTCTGGTCGAAGAAAAGATATATAAAAGATAAACATATATAAAAGATTATAGGGGTGCCTGGGTGGCTCAGTGGTTAAAGCCTCTGCCTTCGGCTCAGGTCATGACCCCAGAGTCCGGGATCAGGCCCCGCATCGGGCTCTCTGCTCAGCAGCGGGGAGCCTGCTTCCCTCTCTCTCTCTGCCTGCCTCTCTGACTACTTGCAATCTCTGTCTGTCAAATGAACAAATAAAATCTTAAAAAAAAAAAAAAAAAATTATAATAAACACCATTATGAATAGTTACTACAATCAACGTCTTCAAACTTCTAAAACAGTGCACTATGAACTCATGGATTTTTTTTTTAAGATTTTATTTATTTATTTTAAGATTTTTTTATTTATTTATTTGACAGAGAAATCCCAAAGGAAAGTTTCCTTTAATAGAGGTTATAAAGCTAACAAATACGGAATGATAGAATATCAGTTTTGTAGATCCTGAAGAATTCACAGATCTGGGCAATAATCATAATGGCATCTATATGGATTATTCAGAAAAGGGAAATCTATAAAGGCAGAAAGTAGACTATAGCAATGGAATGGGAACAGGCATTAACTGTCAATGGCATGAGGTTATCTTACCGAGGTGAGGGAAAGGTTACCAAACTCAACTACCTGATTGCTGCACAACTCCATAAATTTACTAAAAATCTCTGTACTCTAGTTTTACAGTACTTAAATTGTACTTCAATAAAGTTGTTAAAATATCACAATGGCTGTAATAACCACAGAAAGAGACAACTAGGTATTATGTGCCTCCTGACAGAACACATCACCACTATGAATTACACGTGTCAAAAAAAAAAAAATCTAACTTGAGGGGTGCCTGGTTGGCTCAGTCAATTAAGTGTTCCACTCTTGATTTCGGCTCAGGTCATAATCTCAGGGTCCTGGGATCCAACCCTGCAGCAGGCTCTGTGCTCATCAGGAATTCTACTTGGGATTCTCTGCCTTTCCCTCTGTCCTCACTCACTCCCCTGCCTCATATCCCACATGATTATGCTATCTCTCTAAAATAAATAAAATCTTAAAAAAAAAAATCTAACTTGAATCTGATTAAACCTCTAGACTAATTTACAGGAAATAAAGAGGACAGAGGAACATGTTAAATGACACCATAGGAAGGCAATCAGCAAAATCCAGAAACTAGGGGCGCCTGGGTGGCTCAGTGGGTTAAGCTGCTGCCTTCGGCTCAGGTCATGATCTCGGAGTCCTGGGATCGAGCCCCGCATCGGGCTCTCTGCTCGGCGGGGAGCCTGCTTCCTCCTCTCTCTTTGCCTGCCTCTCTGCCTGCTTGTGATCTCTCTGTCAAATAAATAAATAAAATCTTTAAAAAAAAAAAAAAATCTAGAAACTACTGTGGGAAACTACAGGAAAACCCAGCTTCTTCAACAAACTGCAAGAAATAAAAGTAAAAGACTTATCAACCAATCAAAATCTATAGACCCTAAATAGATCTTTAAACTGTTAGAAATTTTTTTAAAAAGTGGCATTTTCAAGACAAAAGTCTGAACAATGGCTGATTTTGGTTTATTGTATGGGGGGGTTGCTTTTTTTTGGTGTTACATTATCATGGGATTTTTTAAAAAGAGTCCTTATCTTTTAGAGATAATGTGACACAGATATAGGTGGTAAGATATGAAATGTGGAGTTCTGCTTCAAAATGAACAATGGAGAAATCTTACAACTTTGTACAGTTCCTCTACATTTTACAGATAAGAGAAGTGAAATTCAGAGACATAAATTTTATTTTTTTTTAAGATTTTTATTTATTTATTTGACAGAGACAGTGAAAGAAGGAACACAAGCAGGAGAGCGGAAGAGGGAGAAGCAGGCTCCTCGCTGAGCAGAGTCCCATCCAGGGCTTGATCCCAGAACTCTGGGACCATGTCCTGAGCCTAAGGCAGAGACTTAACGAACAAGCCATCATCCAGGCACCCCAGAGACATTAATTTGAAAAGGCATTATCATGACTTCCATTTCCAAGAAAAATTTTTTAAAAAAGCTAAGCCAGGGGAGCCTGGGTGGCTCAGTGAGTCAAAGCCTCTGCCTTCAGCTGGGGTCATGATCCAGGGTCCTGGGATTGAGCCCCGCATGGGGCTCTCTGCTCAGCAGGGAGCCTGTTTCCCCCTCTCTCTGTCTCTACCTGCCTTTCTGCCTACTTGTGATCTCTGTCAAATAAATTTAAAAAATCTTAAAATATGTGTATATATATATATATATACACACATATAAAATATGTACATATACATATAAAATATGTTTTATATGTATATATATAAATGTGTGTGTGTGTATATATATATATATATAATATATTAAAAAAAAATGGGGCGCCTGGGTGGCTCAGTGGGTTAGGCCTCTGCCTTCTGCTCGGGTCATGATCTCAGGGTCCTGGGATCGAGCCCCGCATCAGGCTCTCTGCTCGGCAGGGAGCCTGCTTCCCCCTCTCTCTGCCTGCCTCTCTGCCTACTTGTGATATATCTCTCTGTCAAATAAATGAATAAAATCTTAAAAAAAAAAAGCTTAAAAAAATAAATAAATAAAAAATAAACTAAGCCATGGGTGCCTGGGTGGCTCAACCAGTTGGGTGTCTGCCTTTGGTTCAGGTCCTGATCCCGAAGTCCTGGGATCAAGCACCACACTGTCAGCTGTTGCTGCTTAGCAAGGAGTCTGCTTCTCCTTCTCTCTCTGCCCCTCTTGCAGCTTGTGCACTCTCTCATAAATAAAACCTTAAAAAACAAAAATCTAAGCTACTTTCAAAAAGCTAACCCTTGTTACACATATATGATAAATATGGAACACAAGTACAGACCACTGGCAAAAATATATAAGACATCCTCACACCAAACCCTCATCTAGGAAAATTGTCGGGAAATTGCTTGCAAATCTCAAAATGTAGTGCCACTCAAAAATTGAAAAGGAATCACATTATGCACATTTAGCTTAGCATAAGAGGAGAGAAATAACAATAAATGATACCAGTTTTGCCTGCCACTTTCCACTCAGTGAACACATGCTCCAGAAGGATCCTAAGATGGGAATCACAAACATACTGTTCTCCTTAGTTATTCTTCCTCCTTTTAAGCCTCTTAGTGCCAGCTGCGCACAGTACACCTCACAATACGAAAGGACTATCCCATTCATATATGTTCATGTGTGCAATACAGCCCCTAAAGGTAAGCTAATTAATTACCTGAGTTGCAACCAGAGAAACAGTAACAAGTTTGAAAGTTGAAGGAAACACTGTGCTAGAATTATTGAGAAACAGATTGTCTTATCTATAACTTTAAACCTTCCTAAGGAATTTTTAAGGATAACTATGATCACATGCAAAGTTTCCCTCACAGGCTGACATTAAACCTTGACTCCCACTTGAGTTACTCCACTCTATGACAATCTGACTACACACCAGCTACTCCTCTATATGAAAGCAAAAAACAAGTACTGATACCTGTACTGGAGGAGTTACTCCACTGTATGAAAATCTGACTACCACACGAGCTACTCTACTCCACTCCATACGAAAGTAAAAAACAAGCACTGATACCTTCTGTTTCGACTGTTCAAGAAGAAAAGGTCACACACAGGAATTACTGAGGTCCCTGCCTTGTGCTGATCTGCAGTAAAATCTGCGCAGATTGCTCTTGCTAACCTATAGTGTAAACTTCTCCAAAACAAAGCTCCTATTTACCCAGGAAAGCTCTAAAGCGCAACGACGAATAAAGCCAACCGAAATCCTTCTCTGCAAGCAATCCAGAGTACCAGGTCTTGCTTAGGAAAAGAAAGTTGGGGTTCTCCGGGGTTTTTTTTAGTTTAAGCCTAAGGATGCAAGGAGACAACATCACTTCCCCATTCCGAGAACTGAACAAAGGCTTTGCCGCGCAAGGATAAGATGGAAAAGGAAGTAGGAGCAAGTTAGAAGAAATGGCACAGCAGCTTCAAAGAGGGTCCTCTGTATACATCGCCGCGGTGGCCCTCGCCGTCCTCCATCACTCCCGCCCCCAAAACAGCGTCCGAGCACAACTACCATGGACTGAACCGCAGTTCAACCAGTTCTTAAAAACCAACCATGTTGTCCAGGCCTCCAGAGCAATAACTATGGTTCATAAACACAGAACGGCAAGGAAAAGTTGTGGGGCCAAAAGAACCGAGAAGCGAGAGGCCCGGAAGGATCCAAACTCAGGTCCTCCTCCTTACACAGTCTCCTATCATCATTCTCTTCCCGTTCTAGATCACCCTCCCTTTCCAAACGACACTCATCCCGCCCCTTCCCTTGTAGCCACCTTTATTTCCCCCGAAGAAAAGACAATACAATTGTAGGCTTTCAGGCCAGAAAGACCTACATGCGAACCCATGCCACCAACTAGCTGTGTGGCTTTGCATAAGTTACTTAACCCCTCCGGTGCCTCAGTTTTCCTATCTTGTAAAATGGGTTCAATAACATACACCTCGGAGAACTGTAGGGGAGGATAAAAAAATGAAGCCTATAAAGTGCTTTATATAAAGTCCTGGCACATAACACTAGAATATTATTACTGTGTGCTAGTGATTGGTATTATTACCACTATTCGATGGGCCCCTTTCTCCTTTTACACCCCCTTCCCCTCACTCACGCCCCCATTCCCCTTCCCGCAGGTCCCCGATGGCCTCCTACACTCTCATCTCACGCTCCTCTCCGGTAAGCGCAAGCCCGCTTACCCTGAGTAGGTGTGCCCGCAAAGCGCAGGCTTCCGGGCTGGCTGGTAGAGTCCCCCGGGAGCGGCGGCGGCGGCGGCGGCAGCGGCCCCTGACCCGGCGCTCTTTTCCTGCCCCGGATCTGCTCCCGGAATCAAGCGGGCCAGTGAGATGGGCGCCCTCGTGCCCAGAGCGGCCTTACGCACTGCCCACCTAAAAACCTGGCCGAACCACTCTACCCATTGGATCCTCCCGACTCGCCTGCTCCTTTATCGTCTCTCCAAACGCGCGCGCGCGCGCGCACCTGGTCAAGCCGGCTCCACCCCTTTTGCGCGCCCCGGAGACTCTGTGCGTGTTCGACCAACCCGAGCTCGCGGGAGAAACGCGCAGGCGCAAAACCAAGAGGGCGCCCGGAAAGCAGAGAGGCGGGGCGGCCTTGCAAGACGCAAGCGGAACGCGACCGGTGCTGGGCCTCGGCTCAGTTCAGTTAGCAACACCACACTGTTTCGGTTCTCCTTCCGCGCGCCCAAAGGAGGGGCGTGGCCTAGAACTAGCCCCCGCTTGGGGGGCGTGGCCTAGACCCAAAGGCCGAGGATGGGGCGTGGACCTTCAGACCAAATCCCTCAAACTGTGTCGTCCTCGCTACCCCGCTTTGATGGGCCGTTAAAGTCGTTGACGGGAGAGGATCCTCACCCCCTTCCCTGTACTAATGCAGCTCCCTGGACCCCTCACTTACAAAACGTCTATCTCCTGGCTTCCTTTCTGGCAGACAATTAGTTGGGGGTGGGGCAGCACCCCAAACCGAGTCTGGGTGACGTCTGATGAGGCCCGCCTCCCTCCTCTCCGCCTCACAGAGTCGGCGAGCCGCGTTACCACAGCAACCGGCCCGCCGGGGCCTGCTCGACTTACAAAGAAGACGCGGCCTCCGGTGGGGAAGGAGCCCGGCCTCTGAGGAGCTCGGAGGCGGCGGACGCTAGGAAGGCTCTGCACATTTTCCTTGCGAGAGCCCTGGGCTTGGGCTGGGCTTAGAAACCCCCAGAGCCTCCGTCCGTTCCCGCGATCCTCTGAATCCTGCGTGGACCAGCGCCTGTCCTCAGCAGCATTTGCGCCGGGCAGCCTCGGCGGCAGCGGGGCCTCGCGTTCTCCCGCAGTGGCGGAGAGGACAAAGCACTGACTTCCCGCACACAGCTGTCTATCCTCTCCCGCTAGAGCGCCACGCTGTCTTCGACAGGTGCGGGTCGGCCCAAAGCAGGGGTCCCTCATACCCTAGGTGCCTTCCCTTGAAGGGGGCTGTTGGTAGCTGGATAGCAAATATCCAAGCTACTGGACCTTGTTTTTAAACATTGCCTCCTAAGGGGATTTTGAAAAATCCTGCTTCCATTTCCAAGGCCGGAGGCAGAGCAGGCCTTCAGTGGCAATTTCACGGGATTCCCAATACTTATTCTCTGGGGAGATGAACTCCCACCTCCCCTCTAGAGTAGAGCATCAGGTGCAGTTTCTGAACCCCACTCTCCTTCTCCCCTCCAGTGTCTGTCTGGTGTGGTTTTGGAAAGCAGGTGAGATTGGGGGTGGGGGGTGGAGTCCAGAGCCCAGGACCAAGAAATAATTCTTGAGACGTCTTTCGTGGGTGCAAAATGCTGGTTTTTATTTAAAACACAGGGACAAATTGCTCAAACAGAGCTGCTGCACTGGGGTTATGAAGGGTAGCTGATTATATACTTTGGGGTTGGGGGAGTAAGGAACAGGAGGTTTCAAAAAAGTTTCTGAAGGAAGCCATGCCATTGTCAAGTTAAGGTTGTTTTCCCCTGTAGCAAGGCATTAACATTAAGATAGTTGGGAGATTCCTGGAAGAATGTCACACAATTCCCACCCCCGAGTCGGGTTGTAGGGGAGGTGTCAGCCTTAGCTTTGTCCTCAGCCAGCCTTCAGCTCCCTTATCGAGTCTGCTTATCTGTGACACAGGGATGTAACTATCTCATAAGGTTGTTGCTGTATTAATAAATGGAAAATTCACACCGCACTGAGCATGTCAGTCTACTCAATAAACAATTGTTTCTGGCCTGTCTCTGTTGCTATCCCGAAGATCCTCGTTGTTTATTAGCTTTGGTGCAGGCTCAACAATCAGTCCATTGAGCAATACAGGCATGAAGAAAGCAGGCAAAACACTCCCACACCCCACCCATCTCGTGGGTTTCTAGTGTCCTTTCACCCGCTTGTAATTAGATTCTAGGGAGGGCAGCCCTATGGGGAGCTAGTCACATGAAGAGCAGCCTCCACAATCCTTTCTTGGACTTTTGTTTCTTCCTGCAGCACTGGGACTGATGTGCATGGAAACAATCAAACAGGAAACACAGCATCTCCCATGTCCCCAAACCCACCCCGCACCCCGATCCCCCACTGCCCTCCACTCAGAACTGAGTGTTCATTTCTCAGGTTATTGAAGAGAAATGAAAAACACACAGATGGCTTTTACTTCAGGAGGCATTGGAGTGTTTGTTGGAAACAATTGGGGTTCATGCTGTACTTATGCTACTGCAAAATTAGAACAATTGTATAAATCACTATTTCTCAAAGGGAGGGAGGCCCCAAACAAATGAGAGGGTAGTTGGAGAAGAAAATATCTGGTAATATAATTTACTGTTTAGGGAGAAAAAAAACTATTGTTTTTGGTCTACAAACTATAAAGTCTTGAACAAATCTTCTCAGCTAGGAGAGCAGAAAGGCTAAATGAACTGAAACACTGGTTGTGAAATTGTTCTCCTTAAGAAGAAGACGGGGAAATCCTTGGCCAGACAAGCCTTTCTGTTATTCTGAAATCTAAATACCAAATCTAATGGGATGCATTTCTTAAAGTATGTGTAGGAAGATAAAATTTTGTTTTATTTTTAAGATTTATCATTTATTTGACAGATCACAAGTAGGCAGAGAGGCAGGCAGAGAGAGGGGGGGAAGCAGTCTCCCCACTGAGCGGAGAGCCCAATGCGGGGCTTGATCTCAGGACCCTGAGATCATGACCTGAGCCAAAGGTAGAGGCTTAACCCACTGAGCCACCTAGGCACCCCAAAATTTTAAAAATATACAGTTGACCCTTGAACAATGCAGGGGTTAGGGTATAACTTTTGACCCCCCCAAAACTTATACATGGATTTTTACCATATGGCACAGTACTACAAATGCATTTTCTCCTCATGAGTTTAACATTTTTTTTCTAGCTTACTTTATTGTAAGAGTACAGTATGAAAATGGAAAAGAAGGTAAATGCCTCCAGGTTTCGTTCCAATATATTCACCCTCTGAGCTCAAGTCTCAGAAACAGTTTTACCAATTAGAGTGCGGATAATACCTAGATGCCTGTCAATTGATTCCATTGTTAAAAGCCACCAACACAAACCAAGTTTAGCCAAGGTCTGACACTTTGTATAATGCCTTTTATCAGATAATACATTTACCTTTAAATTCAAATAAAGAATGCCTCCAGCTGGTTTTTTTCCTTGGTACAGATGGAGTTAACTTCCTGCTTTCAAAGTGTGTTGTCCTTGCTTTGTTTACATAATAGAAAACCCTTTCTGACTCTTGGAAATTATCAAGATCATCAGACTTCCCCTAAATATAAAGCAAATGTCATGTTTCTTGACTAAGCATTTGAGTATTGTTTCAATATTTTTTATTTCAACCTGAAAAAAAAAAACTCTGTTTTTTGATGATATCAGAGTTCTTTCTTCTCTGGAAAGGACATCAAGCCTATTTTATTCATATCTCATTTGATTATTTTTTCCTGGATTTTCCTTCCCCCTCAGAGTCTACTAACATAACAAAATTAACCCTAACCTTTAAATATCCAAATCTGTGAGGGTCCATAAAGATGTTCTAACTAATATATTCCCCCAATTTAACAGAAAGTAACTTAAGTCACCCAGCACCCAGAGACAGGACCGAGATTTGAGTCCTCTGAATTCCCAGTCCAGTATGAGATTAGGTGTTCATCCAGTGGGCTATAGTTATGGTCCAGTTGCTATGTGCTGTGTCCTTCGTTGATGCTGCAGAATGCGCTAGAAGCAGATGAAGTTCCTAGCCTCATAAAGCTTAATATTTGGTGCCAGGGACTGACAGTAAAACAAGTAAACAAGCATTCAAGTAGGAAATAAAAGGATGATGAGAACTGGTGATAGCTATGATGAAAGAAACTAATGAGGTAAAGTGACAGAATAATTGGATTGAGGGGAAGATAGGGGAAACTACCGAGCGGCAAAGAAGGACAGACTCAGAGAGAAACCAAGGTCATATAGTTGGTGGGTGGCGGTTTGAACCCAGACCCACTTTCTTCCAGGATCTCTGCACCTCTCCTCAAGAGCACTTCCTTTAAAGGAGAGCACCCAGGAGGAGGATGTTTTAGGCAACCTAGAGATAACAAGAAAGCCCAGCAATTCCTCAAAGATAGGATGGAGAGAAAACCCAGGAGGACCAGAGAGAACATCTCATTTATGCAGGCCCTGCCGAGGACCTACCATGTGCCAGAGTTATGTCATGGAAATACATAAAGCTCCCACTTGAAATGATTATAGAAAAAAAGTGCCTGCTACTCTAGGGAAGCACTGACCACATTAGCTAAAAAAACTTCAGAAAGAAAAAAACCAAAGGTAGATTAGTGGACAGGATCAGGAAAGAAAATCTGGATGGAAAGTCTATGAGCAGTGACACAGAGGTAGGGATAACAGAAAGTAGAAAAAAAAATTTTTGCACATAGTAAGTGATCGGTAAATATTTGCGCGTGACAGTGATACTCAGAACATTAGAAAATAGGAAGTAGTGGGGAATAATATTAGATGAAAGGAGCTAGATTAAAACGGGCACTGGATCAGGTAGCAAGGTTTGAGCAGTGCAGGAGACAGGCTTGGTCTTGGGGGAATATATACATTATATAAATATCTGGAATATTGAAAAAAAATACTGTTACCTCCAAAAGGAGAGAGGAAAGAAAACATAAGCAAGTCGTACAAAATGTAATTAATTTGGGATCAGGCATTGCATGTTACCTGAGCCCTTGAGTTGTGCCAGGAATTAGACAAGGAAAGGAAATTAATACATGATCCTTCTTTTGCCAGATAATGACACATCTAGGTAATGGGACAGCATGCAGTCATTAAAAAGAATGTGGTAGCTCTGAAAGGAACTACAGGGAACAATTTCCATGTTTGTGTGCTAAGTGAAAATAGGAAGGAGCAGAAGAAGCATATATGGTGTGCTGTTTCTAAGGAAGCTGGGGAGATATACATGCTTGTGTTTACACTGACAAGCTGGGTATACAAACACTGCTCAAGGTGGGGGTGTCTCAGGAGAATTAGGGGACTGGGGAAGAGTGAAAAAAGACTTTTTACTATATACTCTTTTATCTTTTTGTATTTTATATCAGTTGCACATATTGCCTCTCCAAAAATAATATTTAGAAAATTACAAATAAAACTCAGTTCTTTTTCAAAGGTGTTTACCATTTCATGTTACGGATCCTCTATCCTAACGTTACCTGTTTCAGTTAACAAGCCCACTTAACCTCCACAGGTGTACCTTCCCTGCACCTAGATTCACTAGTATAGTTGATGCATCTTTCCTCCTCTGCCTGCCCTCAGCAGCAACAGAAGTAATAAAAAAAGAGAAAATGAGATTCTCTGGTCCATGTAACCTTTTTATCTACTTGGACTGCCCATGACAGTATCTGATACCTGAATCTATCTTTTTTGCTGTTGTTGTTGTTTTTGTTGTTCTATTTTATTTGATTTCTTTTAAAGATTTTATTTATTTGACAGAGATCACAAGTAGGCAGAGAGAGAGAGAGAGAGAGAGGAGGAAGCAGGCTCCCCACTAAGCAGAGAGCCTGATGTGGGGCTTGATCCTAGGACCCTGGGATCATGACCTGAGCCGAAGGCAGAGGCTTTAACCCACTGAGCCACCCAGGTGCCTCCTTTCTTTCTATTTTAAATTAATCTCCTTGCCCAGATCTTTTATTCTTTATTTACTTATTTATTTAATCTTTGTCCACTTTATTTATTTATTTATTTATTTATTTAAAATTAATCTCTTTGCCCTAGGTGGGGCTTGAACTCAGAACTCAGAGATCTATAATTGCAGGCTCCAGGTGCTCCATTTTTTAAAATTTATTTTATTTACTTATTTATTTTTGATAGCCACATCTTTTAATGCACCTGCCTCCTTGAGACAGCAACATCTTCTTAAGCTGAGGAAGATGAAGGAAGTTTTTAAGAAGAAGATTTTAAAAAGCTCAGAGTTTGGCCAAAGGCACTCCTTCAAGCTCCTGCTTAAGTGCGCATTTCCTCTTGGCTTTAAGGAGATGTCCTTTGGCCAGAAGGGCTGTTTTTTTGTCTCCAGTCTACGCAGACCCAAACTTTTTCTCTCGTCACGTGCCTGGCCCGAGCCAGTCGGCTGCTCCGTAACTCGATCACTGTGACCGGCCTCCCCGAGCCACCGAGGAGCCGAGAGGCTGGGCAGCCGCGCAGTGACAGCAGCCGCGCAGGTAGGGGCCCGAGGAGAAGGGGAGGCGAGCGTGGGCTGTGGACCGGGACCTCGGAGGAGCTGGGACACGGGCCCCTGCAGAGGTGAGCGGGAACTGCCGGGGAGGGAGGTGTTCGCCACCGCCTGGGTGCTTCCGAATTCCCTTAAAGAAAGATAAAGTGCGTTCTTCTCCCCCTCTGCTCCCTCTCTGTCCTCCCCCATGTACAAAACAGGTGAGATTTGCCTCTGATCGTTGATCTGGGCCGTCTTCTTGCCGCCTAGAGCCCCCGACAAGGCCCTTGCTGATGTCTGCAGACTCTGCCTTTGTGCCATCCTCTCCTCTGTCCTCTTGTCCGACTAGCACCTGATAGTCCGTCCTGTCAGATGGGCAGGGTTTGGCTTTACAACCCTGTGTATAAAGGGCAAACTCTCAAGTCAGAACTCTGAAGAGGAAAAGCCAACTGCGAGTCTGTCGGGGAAGCCACAAACTGCTTCTCTGAACTGTCGGATCACCTGGAAGGCACACAGCCAATTTTAACGGTCTTAAAACAAGATCAAGGTGTGAGCTAGAGATGGGCAACCATGTCCAAGCTGTCTTGTTGCTACATACAAAGATGTTCCAGTGATCTCAGAATTACTGGCCGTTCCGTAGTTCCCGGGAAGGACTCCCACAAAGCTTCCTGGGTGAGAGGATGCAGTCTGTGTGCGGCGTCGATGGGGATGAACAATAAGGCTGGTAGTTTCCAGGGGCTCATACGGGCCCTTTGGGGCTTCAGGCAAGCAAGACAGGATACAGACTGTGGTTTGCTTCAGTTCCATGCGCAGTTCCAACCACATCTCTTACGTTGAGAGATCATGATTCTGAAATCAATTTGATAAAATGGAAAAGCTCTGAACTTCAGCCTCTGGCCATGGAAAGAAAAGGCCTTAGTCCCAGGAAAAGGTGCTGATACCTTGAAACCAAATATTGGACAACTTCTGAGGGCAAAACACAGTGCTTTTTTTTTGTTGTTGTTTAAGATTTTGTTTATTTATTTGACAAACAGAGATCACAAGTAGGCAGAGAGAGAGAGGAGGAAGCAGGCTCCCCCTAAGCAGAGAGCCCAATGCGGGGCTCGATCCCAAGACCCCGAGATCATGACCTGAGCTGAAGGCAGAAGCTTTAACCCACTGAGCCACCCAGGCGCCACAACACAGTGCTTTTTATTCAGTTCTCCTTCTTTCCTTTATTTAACAGATACTGAGTGTCTGCCACATGGTAGGTTTGTGGACCTCACAGTAAACAAACAGGCAGGCTCATTTTCACAGGCACGCTATCAGGCAGGATAGGCCATTCTTAAACGATACACATACCCCGTAGAAAAGGCAGGGAAGGGAACGTTGGTAGAACAATCCTGAGTCTCTTGGCTCGGAGTCTCATCTTTCTATCGGGCATTTCGTCTTCTGGAGTGAGAATCTTTTCATCTACAAAAGCCTCACTTGTGCGCAGACCTTGGTCACAGCAGCTCGTCAAATCTTCCTCACCACAGGCTTTAAGCTGGGCAACTACATTTCGGGTCAGTGTCCTCACCCCTAGAGAAGGCCCGCTCAGCTTTTTCCAAGAGGATGAACAGCCTAAGAGCAGAGGCTGAGGTGGTAGGAGTTCTTGTCCTCCTGTTGGTCGCTCTCTCCCGATGTCATTTCCCATTTACGAAAGAGAATTTGTGCTCTTCCAAACACACACTCGGTGCCCAGCGAAGTCTCAGGAAGCCTGGATTTTCCCAGAGACTGTGGAGTTTGGAGTAAGTCAGTTCTGCTCATTGAGGCTAATCTTTGCTTATAAAATAGAAGCGGTGGATTAGACAATCAACGAGGTCTCATTTTGTCCTTTTTTCTCCTTTGAAAGTAAATAATTCTAATAATTTCACAGTATGTTTACAAAGAAACAGTACATAGTCATGTAAAGATGGTATATCTTACGCCTATAAAATGGGAACCCTCATCAACCATGCAGAATATTCAGGGACCTAGAATCTGAAAGAGGGACACCTGGGTGACTCAGTCTGTTAGGCGTCTGCCTGTGGCTTAGGTCATGATCCCAGGGTCCTGGGATAGAGTTCCGCATGGCTCCCTGCTCAGCAGGGACCCTTTTTCTCCCTTTGCCTGCCTCCCCCTGCTTGTGCGCTCTCTCTCTCCCTCTCTCTCTGACAAATAAATAAAAGCTTTAAAAAAAAAATCTGAAAGTATCAGGCTGCAGAAAAAACTTAAAGTCTCTACCCCCACCCTCACCCCATTCCTCTGTTCTGTCTCTTGTCTGTATTCAGATTCTCAAGGTCATGAACATCAGCTTTAGCCTCACTGTATCATTTTCCTAGACCGAGAATTCTGTAATAAATAGCTTGTATAGTCAGAATCAAAAGAACCATACTTAAAAAGTATCTAATTTGGATAATCTGCTTTCAAAAGAACCATACTTAAAACGTACCTAATTTGGATAATCTCACAATATGTATCAAATTCCCTTTAAAGGGGAATCAGTTCATTGGTACGAAGTATTTTTCTTTGGTGACTTTCTTTCTTTCTCTTCCCTAAATGCATTCCCATCCTATGCAATTTCATATTCTCCTCCTACATACTTTCTCGCTTGAAAAATCAAAGCTATACTTTATTAAAATCAAAGTATTACTTTATTAAATAGGGCAAGAAGCATCTCCTATTCATCTTTGTATCTATCCCCTATGGCTACCTTTGTATCTTGCATACAGTAAAGGTTTCTTGAAAGAATTATTACTATTTTAGAGAAAACATGTTCTGTTTTCCCTCTGGTATTAAAACACAGGCGCGCGTGCTCACAGTAGCTAATCCATTATTCATGGCTGATAGAGGCTGATCTCATTCCTTTGTGTTCCTTTACAACCCTGATGCCCACCCTGCATGCACAACATCAGCACATTCTACACTTTTTGCAGACTCAGTTGGTATAATAAGCACTGAAATCAAGTTCTGCCACTAAATACCCATGTAATTTGAAGCTGAACACTGAACCTTCCTATGCCCCCATGTCTTCCAGTGGAAAACGGTAGTATCTGACTTGAAGGCCTCTGAGATCACGTCTAGTTGTTAGATGGGAGACTTTAGAAAGGTAAAGGAAAAGGTCAGAGAGAGAAAGCACAATAAAAATGGAGTGATTATAGCACCTGAACATATTAAATATTAATAATTGTCATTGGCTTTATTTGCCAAAATCTCTAACTTGAGCATTCCCACTGGCAGTCAATGTTAAGGAACTTCTGTGGTTGAAGACACATCTGCCTACCATGTTTGGGGACTTTCCTAGAACCTTCCCACAGACTCTGTCCACTTAAAACTGAAAACACATCTGCCAGCAGGTAGAGAGGCACAGAAAACAAGCTGCTTTGGCATAAAATATTCAGCAGAATATAGGGTTGTGCAGCTTAGAGGAGTCAGTCACCTATGTAAATATCTTGGGAGATAGTATGTGGGCATATTAGCTTAGCCAAAGAACACATATTCAGAAATGCTTCTTTGCCTCCACTGAGATCAGAGGTGGACAGAAAAATGTTGGGATTCCTGCAGCCAAAGAGGCCTTCCCAGCACCAGAAGATAAATAGTCACCACCAGAAGATAAACAGTCACCTTTCCTTTGGCCAGAAGGTTTACCCAGAGCCGAGGGTTCCCAGGTAGAACTTAGATATTGGCCTCTCATCACTCAGTCCGGTGGCACTCAGTTTCCATCCCATGGACACAGTGGGCGTCAGCACTCTGCCTTTGTTTTTTGTTTGGTTGGTTTGGGTTTTTTTTTTTTTTTAAGACTGTATTTATTTATTTGAGAGAGAGAGAGTATGCACATGAGTGGAGAGAGGAGTAAAGGGAGAGGGAGAAGCAGACTCTCTGCTGAGCAGGGAGCCTGATGAAGGGCTCGATCCCAGGACCCTAGGATCATGACCTGAGCGGGAGGCAGACACTTATCCCACTGGGCCACCCAGGTGCCCCAGGACTCTCTCTGCCTTTGGAATCAAGCAGAGTTGCCTCCTTCCAGGGTCAAGGTCTCATGGTACAGACAGTCATCCTCATCTCTCTTAGTTCTTGTTTTTAATTTTAATATCTGGTTCTGTTTATTTATACTTTAGACCCAGTCTCCATCTCAAAAGAGTTTGAAATAGCTTCCAATAAAGGATATATATAATAGAACAGCTGCAAATAGGTAAAAACTGATAAGAAACCATCTGGCACAAATAAATACCTTCCGTACTGTTCTGAATTGTGATCTGTAGAAAAAAGAACCAGAAGCTTTACTGCTATTGCTCTTCTTTGGGACCATGTAAAGTTGTTAACCTTTCTCCTGATCCCCTCTGCCTCCCCCTCCCTGTCACTGCAAAAAAAGGAGAAGAAGAAACAAAGCACTGGTTCTTCTTCTTTTTTTTTAATGTTATGTTAGTCACCATACAGTATATTACTTTTTGATGTAGAGTTCTATGATTCATTGTTTGCGTACAACACCCAGCGCTCATTGCAATACATGCCCTCCTTAATACCCACTAGGAGCCCCCCATCCCCCTACCCCCTTCCCCTCTGAAACCCTCAGTTTGTTTCCTAGAGTCCACAGTCTCATGGTTTGTCTCCCCCTCTGATTTCCTCCCCGCCTTCATTTTTCCCTTCCTTCTCCTAGTATCCTCTATGCTATTCCTTATGTTCCACATAGAAGTGAAACCCTATGATAATTGTCTTTCTCTGCTTGACTCCATCAGAGTTACCTTTAATAATCTAATGAAAGCTGTGGACCTTTCTATCCTGAAGAATGAATATGGAAAAAGTTGGCCTATACTTTCAGGGGAAACAGACTTCTCAAAGGAATTGAAATTAATCTGATTTTTGAGAAAGGGAAAGCTAATTAAAGAGAGAGCTAATTACTCTACAAATCTTCAATAAAATGTTTCCAACAAATGGGCATTGAATTTATTTTAAAAACTTTTAACAGTTCTGTAATTTTCTGAATAGGTAAAAACATACTCATGGTACCAAATTCGAAAGGCAGGAAACAGCATATAGTAAAAGGAAAGCCTTCCTTCTACCCTGTCCCCCAGTGGCCCGGTTCACCTCACCAAAAGTCACCATTGTAAACAGTTTCTTAGATACTCTTCCAGCAGTAGTCTAATATTCTATGTATTATCCCATGCACACTTAAACAGGACACACACACACACAAATATTCCATGCATTGTTTTTTTTCCCACTTAATACTTCTGGAGATTACACACAAAGTTGCCTTATTCCTTTACTGGATGAAAATTGTTTCACCATTGGATGCAATATAATTTACTTAACCAGCAGCTATTGATGGACATTTAAATTGTTTCTAATCTTTAGCCATTAAAAACTGTCGCATTGAACATCTTTATACATACATCATTTTTTATATAGGACTGTATAATCAAAAAAAAAAATCCTCCAAAGTGTATTTGAGCATTAAATTTAACTCCGAGCTTAATCGGCAGCCGAAGCAAAAAGGCACACGTGGAGGGACCAAAATGGATTGCCTCAGTTTTGTTTTGCATGTTACAAAAAAGCATACTACTTCTTCCAAAGAGGAGAACTGTGCACTAATTTCTATGTAGAATTGAGCATCTGTATATTCATACAAAGCACATGGCTTCCTTTGGAGAATGAAATAATGGAGTAGGGAATACCTTCAGTGGCAGTAGTGATACTCATGCTCATACATCTATCTTGATTTTTTTAAGTTCTTTTTTTTTGTTTAAGGTTTTATTTATTTATTTGAGAGAAAGAGTGTGAGCGAGAGAGAGCATGAGCAGAGGGGAGAGAGGGAGAATCAGGCTCCCGCTGAGCAAGGAAACCGATGCAGGGCTCGGTCCCAGGTCCCCGGGATCAAGACCTGAGCTGAAAGCAGATGCTGAACTGACTGAGCCACCCAGGTGCTCCTATTTTTTTTTAAGTTTTTATTTAAATTCCATTCAGTTGAAAAAAAAAAAAAACAAACAAGTTCCAGTTAGTTAACATACAGGGTGATATTATGTCAGGCGTACTGTGTACTGACTCAGCACGTCATACAACACGTGCCCTGTTGCTCCCGTGCCGCCGCCTCCACCCAGCTCATTCTTGATAGCTAAGGGTCTGTTTCTTGGTTTACCCTCCCTCTCTTTTTTTTCTCCCTGTGTTCATTTGTTTTGTTTTTTACATTCCACATACTAGTGAAATCATACGGTATTTGTCTTTCTCTGATTTATTTCACGTAGCATTATACTCTCTAGCTCCATCCACGTTGTTGCAAATCACAAGATTTCGCTCTTTTTGATGGCTAAATAATATTCCACTGTGTACACGTGTGTGTGTGTACATACGTGGGTATATATATAGTTTATCTATTCCATATATATATACATATATATATATAGTATATATATTCCGTACATACACACACACCCCACATCTTTATCCATTCATTAATCAATAGATGCTTGGGCTGTTTCCATAATTTGGCTATTGGAAATAGCGCTGCTATAACCATCAGGGTACATGTATCCCTTTGAATTAGTGTTTTTGTGTTCTTTGGGTAAATACCTAGTAGTGTGATTTGCTGGATCATAGGGTAGTTCTATTTTTTTTTTTAAAGATTTTATTTATTTATTTGACAGACAGAGATCACAAGTAGGCAGAGAGGCAGGCAGAGAGAGAGGGGGAAGCAGGCTCCCTGCTGAGCAGAGATCCCGATGTGGGGCTCGATCCCAGGACCCTGGGATCGTGACCTGAGCTGAAGACAGAGGCTTTAACCCACTGTCCACCCAGGCGCCCCAGGGTAGTTCTATTTTTAACTTCTTTTCTTTTTTTAAAGATTTTATTTGTTTATTTGAGAGAGAGAGAGAGAACAAGCAGTGGGGAGGGCAAGAGGTGGGGAGAGAGAGAGAATAGCCCACTCCCTACTGAGAGCAGGAAGCCTGATCTGGGGCTCAATCCCAAGACCCGGAGATCATGACCTAATCCGAAGGTAGACACTTAACTGACTGAGCCCCCCAGACACCCCTATTTTTAACTTTTTGAGGAACCTCCATACTGTTCCCCACAGTGGGTGCACCACTTTGTGTTCCCACCAACAGTGCAAGAGAGCTCCCCTTTGACCACATCCCTGCCAACACCTGTTGTTTCTTGTACTGTTGATTTTAGCCGTTCTGACAGGTGTGAGGTGATCTCTCAATGTAGTTTTGACTTGCATTTCCCTGATAATGAATGATGGTGAGCATCTTTTCATGTGTCTGTTGGCCACCTGGATGTCTTTTTTGGAGAAGTGTCTATCCATGTTTTCTGCCCATTTTTAAATGGATTATTCATTTTGGGGCATTGAGTTTGTTAATTTCTTTATGTATTTTGGATACTGACCCTTTATAGGATATGTCCTTTGCAAATATCTTCTCCCATTCCGTAGGTTGCTTTTTAGCTTTGTTGATGTTTGCTTGGCTGTGACAGAAGCTTCTTATTTTGCTGTAGCCCCAGTAGTTTATTTTTGCTTTTGTTTCCCTGGCCTCAGGAGACCTTTCTAGAAAAAAGTTGCTACAGCCAATATCTGAGAAATTACTGCCTGTGCTTTCTTCAAGGGCTTTTATGGTTTCATGTCTCAAACTTAGGTCTTTAATCCATTTCGAGTTTATTTTTGTGTGTGGTGTAAGACAGTGGTCAAGTTTCATTCTTTTGCATGTAGCTGTCCAGTTTTCCCAACATAGTTGACAAGATAGGTCATGATCCCAGAGTCCTGGGATCGGGTCCCGCATCGGGCTCTCTGCTCAGCAGGGAGCATGCTTCTCTGACTCTTTCTGCCTGTCTCTCTGCCTACTTGTGATCTCTCTCTGCCAAATAAATAAATAAAAATCTTAAAAAAAAAAAAAAAGATTTAAAAAGTATGATCTAGGGGCACCTGGGTGGCTCAGTGGGTTAAGCCTCTGCCTTCAGCTCAGGTCATGATCTCAGGGTCCTGGGATTGAGTCCTGCATTGCGCTCCCTGCACGGCAGGGAGCCTTCCTCTTCCTCTCTCTCTCTGCCTGCCTCTCTGCCTACTTGTGATCTCTGTCAAAGAAATAAATAAAATCTTTAAAAAAAAAAAGTATGATCTAACTAAAACCCAGCATTCCTTGAATAAACTAAAATGAAATCAAGGAGGAAAAGCTTCAGTTTTGAGGTTGGAGATCATGTGTCTGAGTGCAGAGAAAATCTGGGCATCGTCCTCTAAAGATTTCTTGGGTATGCCGGATCTCCTGCCCTGCTCAGTATTTTCTTAGCTCTGGTGCGGACTTCTAGCCTAGTACTTTCCATACAGATTTTGGAATGATGGGTTTATGTAAATGAGGGTTTCTCATTTATCATTGCATCTACAGGGTTCCTTGCACAAAGTAAGCTCTTCACAAATGTCCCTGAAAGGAACAGATGAGTTTCTAAATCAGAGACCATGTCCCATTGGCTTCTCGACTTCTTGGCAAAGGTAATAGGTGATGCTAAGTGGGGGAAAAGCTAGGATGAGGCTCTGGCTTATAAGTGAAGTTCCTACAGCAGAGCAGTTCCGGAAGCTTACCAAATAAACCCAATCCTTCTGTTTCCTTCCCCAGAAGGGATGGTTATCTCAACAGGGTCAACAGAGCCTTTCCCAGTTCCCAGCAAGAACTGAGGATGGAAATCCAAGGTGATAGAAAAGTTCTGCCCATCTGCAAATAACTTGTACACACTGAGAGTCTCAGCTCAAGGTGCTTCCTTTGACCCTTGGTTCCTTATCATTAAGACACTTGGCTGGCTCAGCCCCAAAGGTCCTAGAACCACTACCTTCCTCATGCTGAAAGCTCTGTGCTTTTCAGAATTCCAGGCAGCAAGCTGCCAGATTGAAAAATGACCCTGTCTTGTCCAAGAATCTATCCCCATGTAAAGGGAGACTTCTTGGAACGGGCCCCTAACCACATGCAGGATGTGGAGCAAACTTGGAATCAGGCCAACAGGAGCTGCTCAAAACAGGGCAGACAGAGAAAACTGTTATTTAAGGGAGAGTTTTTGGAAATGCTTTAACACCCGGATTATTAAGTAACATGTGCTGTCCGAGATGGGGTGCAGGGGAGTTCACCGCAGTTGGGGCTGACTTCCCGTCCTGGAGTGCCTGCTCAACTATCCTTTTGGAAGCCTTGGGTGGTGAGGAATATGACTACAGAGCACCCACAAGCACACAAGCAAGCAAAGGACTCCTGGCTGCCATCCCGGGTCAGACAAGAGAAAATGCTGGTGGCTTTGCTCCGGTCCATTGCTTCTCTTCCATCGCTTTCCATGAGAACTCACAGTGAGGCAGAGTTCACACCTGCAGGCCTGCTAACAGGCTCTCCTCTATCATCTGGAACAGAGGGAGCTGGAAGAAGGAGCAGGGGTGACAAAGAAGCTGGCCTCCGGTGGCGGGGCCAAAGCGTGGCTGAAACTCTTTCTCCTGCCTCTAGGTGGGGATTGGGCTGACTACACACTATGCCCTCTGGTTCCTTTCCTTAAATCAGATGCTGTCTCCCTGACGGGATATCAGATGTCCCAGTATTCCTGCCTGACAGCTTTTTCTCTGAGCTGACCGCATCCCTCCTGCATACTGTCTGTCCCAGTGAGATGGTGAGGAGCTTGCATGTCACCTCCTCCTGCTGTCCTCATTCCTCAGACCCTGGAAGGCACTTCACAGGTCACTTCTGTCTTTCTCCAGCCTAGGTAATCTACAAGAAATGTGATCAAAGAGAAGAAGTATTTCCTAAGGTCATAGTTGGTCAACATGCATGTAGAATAAGATAAGCGAGAACAATCAAACTCAAAAGAATAGAATATCCTTAGAGATACTGAAAGCCAGGCTCTGATCCTGGCTGTGCCATTTATGAACTCTGAGAGGTTGTCAGTCCTCCTTTATTGAGTTTCATTCATTCTAGTCACAGAGCAGGACCAGATGATCTGTAATGCTTCCCTTCAGCCAGCTTAGGACACCTTTCCACAGGGATAATAAACAGTGTTGGTGAGGATCTAAGATTAGAGCCCTCATACATTGCTGCTGGAAATGTAGAATGGTGCAACCACTTTACATTCCTGGAAAGGTTCAGTGTTGTAACTGGAGGGCCCAGCATGTCTACCCCTAGGCATTTATCCAGGCGAAATAAAAACATGTCCATACAAAAGCTTGTGCATGAGTGACCATGAGAACTACAGAGTGGCAGCAGCCCAGATGTCTACCCACAGATGAATGGATAAGTGAAATACGATACATCCACGTAACAGAATGTTACTTGGCAATCAAAAAATGAAGTAGTGATCCATGCTATAACACAGATGACCCCTGAAGACATGCTCAGTGAAAGAAGCTGCTCACAAAGGGCCACATAGTGTATGATTCCATTTATCCGAAATGTCCAGAATAGGCAAATCGAGAGAGACAGAGAGTGGATCACTGGATGCTTAGGGCTAGAGTCGGGGTGGAAGGAGAAAGTAATTGGGTGCAGGGTTTCCCTTTGGGACAATGAAAATGTTCTAACATGAATCATGGTGATGAGTGCACGACTCTATGAACATACTAAAAGCTGAATGAATGCACATTTTCAATGGGTAAATCATATGGTATGTGAATTGTGTATCAATAAAGACATATATTTAGGATTTTATTTATTCCTTTGGGAGACAGAGAGAGCACCAGCGGTGGGTGAGGCAGAGGGAGAGGAAGAATCAGACTCCCCGCTGAGCTGGGAGCCCAACGTGGGGCTCCATCCCAGGATCTTGAGATCATGACCTAACCTGAAGGCAGATGCTTAACTATCTGAGCCACCCAGGAGCCCCAAGACATTTTTTTTTTTTTTTAAGATATTGTCAGAGAGAGCACAAGGAAGGAGAGCAATAGGTAGAGGGAAAAGCAGGTTCTCCACGAGCAAGGAGCCCAGTGTGGGGGTTGATCCCAGGACCCTGGGATCGTGACCCCAGTAGAAGGCAGATGCTTAACTGAGCCACTCAGGCACCCCATGTTATCTTTTAAAATTTAAATGCCTTTATTGAGGTACACCCAGGTGGCTCAGTGGGTTAAGCATCTGCCTTCTGCTGGGGTCATCGGGCTCCTTGTTCAGCATGGAGCCTGGTTGTCCCTCTCCCTCTGCTGCTCCCCTGCTGGTGCTCTCTCTGTCAAATAAATAATATCTTTAAAAAAAATGAGAACAAATACAATTTTATTTTTTATTTTTTTAGAGGTTTTTATTTATTTCTCAGAGAGATAGAGAGAGCACATATAGGCAGAGGGAAAGGGAGAAGAAGGCTCTCCGCTGAGCACGGAGCCCAACATGGGACTCGATCCAGGACCCTGGGATCATGACCTGAGCTGAAGGCAGCCGCTTAACTGACGGAGCCATGCAGGCATCCCTAAATACAATTCTAAAGTCCCCTCAAGCCTTACCAGCAGAGCATGTGATCCAACTGTTGGATTGTTGCCCTGCTGATGGGTGAGAAATAATTTGTCATTGTAGTTTTATTTTTTTAAATGTTTTATTTATTTGAGAGAGAGAGACAGAATGAGGAGAGGAGCAGAGTGGGGAGGGAGAGGGACAAGCAGACTCTGCACGGAGTGAGGAGCCTGGTGCCGGGCTCAGTCCCATGACCCTGAGATGATGACCTGAGCCAAAACCAAGAGTTCGCCACTCAGCTGACTAGGCCACCTACACGTCCCCTCTCATTGTAGTTTTAATTCACATTTCTCTTATCATAGAGGAGGTTCAGCATCTGTTCAGTTCAAAGTGCATTTACATTGATTTCCTTTTATCATATGTTACATTCCTATATATGTCTGTTTCTGGACTTTCTCATGCATTATATATGTCTGCCTGTTCATGTGCTAGCACCACACTTACTAGAGCTTTGCAATAAGACAGGTAGTGAGATACTCAACAAAATCAAGCTGGCTGGCAACTCTGGGCAAGCACCATCCCCAGCCACCCAAATACCAAATCCAGCCACTGTCCCAGGCTGCCATTTTCCTGGAGAAACCATGGCATTGTTTCAGATACAGAGAAACACTTTAAGTTTGTTGCAAAAACACTTAAGAGGAATGCCAGGAAGCTACTGGAAAAGGCCAAGATTAAAAAGGGCATTCAGAAGGGCACACACAAGTTGCAAGAATGCATACCAAAGACACAACCCATCAGAAAACCCAAGCAATTTAAAAAAACAAAAACAAAACCAAAAACCAAGCAATTAATTTCTTGAGGTTAAGGCCTAAAGTTGATGCCATGGCAGCCTGGGAGCAAACTGCAGTGACAATGAGCAAAGGCAAATCTGTGGCAGGTGTCGTCCTCACTATGGGTGCCGCAATGAGGAGTATGAACGCGGACAAAAAAATTTCTGCCTGGAAGGATAAATAGCATAGATCTTTTGAGAGAGAATGAGATAGAGAGATCACTCACATTCACATCACTTATTGCAGTATTTTGTTATAACTGTTCTATTTTATTGTTACTAATCTCTCATTATGCCTAACTTGCCAAGTAAGCTTTATTACAGGTATATACGTGCATAGGAAAAAGCATAGGACAAGAATGGTTCGGTGCCACCTGCAGCTTCAGGCACCCTCTGGGGGTCTTGGAATGTATCCCCCACAATTAGGAGGGGACTACTGCATCCAAAAATAGTGAGGATTTTACCTTTCTCTTCCCAATTCTTTACCTTTGCTTATTTTCTCTTGTCTAATTGTGTTGACGAATGCCCCATTGAATGTTAAAAGTAGTGCTGAAGGTGAACATAATTCTTCCGTTCAGGACTTTAATAGGCCTGTGCTATCTTGAATTTGGTTCCAGCTCCACCCCCGGTTCCTCTCTACTCCCATCCTGAGGCCTTTCCTGCCATTCTCTTCTCAGTTGCTGGACTTCAGCCTGTATTGCTACAATGGCTTGCTTCCAGCTGGACTATGAGCAACTTGAAGGTGGTGTCCTTGCCGTGGTTTTCCCAGTGTGCTCTGCAGTACCCATGAAAGGCCATGGGGCCTGGTACCGAGTAGGTCCCAGTGGATCGTGCTTGTTTGATTAAATTAGGTGGGTTGGATTTCATGATGTCGTTGGTATCTCCCGCAGTGGGTCGACTTAGGGAAGTAACGTTCTGTAGCACTGCAAACTTCTAGCTTCTGCTTTCTGCCAAGAAGAAGGAATGGGAGTCAGGACTGGGTGCGAAGACATTTGCCAGAGCCAGCCTGTGCCCCATAGACCTCAGGTGATGGCCATTCCCTTTACCACAGCCCATAGCTTACGTAGCCGGGGTTGACAGTGAAGTCTTCCAGAACCACATCAGGAACAAGTCCAAAATGCAGTTTCCTAGCCTCTGCCCTAAGAGACTCTGATTTGGAGCGTAGCCTGGAAATCCAGGTTTCGACCAGTCCCCAGGTGACCGATGTAGGAGTTCCCAAGGTCCATCTGGGCCAACACTGGCCCAACGAACCAGATCCTCTGATTCATCCCCTCGGTGTACATGGGCTATGCACGTCCTGTGCGAAGGCCCCAGGAAGGGCACACCAGAGAGCCCATCCTCATGGCCGTTACAGTCCCCCAGCAGAGATCACACAACCGGGGACCCTGTTGTTATTCTCATTTTATGGCGAAGGAAATCGAGGCTCAGAGAGGACATTTTGACCAAGGTCATAAAACCAGTAAGTGACAGACCCATTGATGATAGAACCTTGAGAAAGGTGTCAGATTTCCAGACTCACTGTCTAATGATTCCTGCATGTAAATACACCATTCATTCAAATCCTGTTGAACAGGTTACAAAATGCTTCCATTTCAGTCAGTGTTACAAAAAGAGCCCCTGTGTATGGTAGCCTGAGTTCACAGAGGTTATACCAGCTGTCCATGCAGATCATGGGCCTGGCCCTGGCTTCAGTCCAGGTGCCTTGGGGCTGTAGGCCATCAGCAGTTAGGGTGCCGTGGAGATACAGAGAAAAGCTTTCTCCTGAATGAGACAGGGTTGTGCTGAGGCAGGGAGTAAAGCTATTCCAGGGGAGAATTTGTCACAGTTCCTCCTGTAGAGAACCCTTTCCTTGCTGATGGAGTCCCCCACTGCCAACTCTGATTCGTGTTACCTGTGCCCACACCAATTCCATCTCCAGATGTGGGAGTCCAGACAGAGGTTATCTGACTCCCCAGATGGTTTTAGTCAGTAGTCAGCTTTGAAAAACCACACCTAGCCATTCCCCTTGACATTCTTCAGTCAGTCAACTTGCTTGGTTGCCTCTGAACATGACCTCATGACTCACTGGTGCTTTCTTGTTCCAGATGAAGGGAGGAGCTGGAAGAATGCAACACAGTGACAAGCCAAAGCAGGTAACTCCCGGCACCCCACCCACGGAGCTAGTGAGAAGGCAGCCACTGGCTCCTTCCATAGCTGCCCGTGCTATGTTTCTGGGGTCTCCACCAAGGTCTAGGGGTTGCTGACACATTGGTGGTGTGCTCATTTCAGTAGCTGGGCAAAGACCACTGGATTCCCAGCTGCCTTATAACTCAACTCCTTTGCCCATGGCTGTCTTCCCATTGTCTCTTGGCCCCGAGGAATTCCCCGTCCCTCAGGCCTTTGAAACCACCCCTTTTTATAACTGCTCTGGAGATAGGAGAAGCCCACTGGGGGCTGGAAACCGGGATTGGGAACCAACCCTTGACCCCAGCTGACTTCTGAGCTGACTTCTGCCCTGTGCTCTTGCATGGCACAGAGACCTTTGGCTTGTTTATAGTCCTTTCACTTGGGCTGCCAGAGAGAGATAACACAATCTCGCCCCCAAAAAAGTAGCTACTCTTCTATGTGAAATTGAGGTTTTTGATTTAATTTAGCTTGATCTGATTACACGCAAATGAAAAATTCCTAGCGAGTCTGGAAAAGTTCATGAAAAGGGTCCTCTGAATACTAAAAAAGGAATAATTGCCAAGCCCGAGTTAAATGTCTGGCAAGCTTGAGGGTGAGTGTTCCATGGCCTGCTTAAAAGAACAAGTTCCCCTGATTGGTCCATCCAGCCCTCTAGGAGAGAGGGGAAAGTTCATTTCCAGAGCTCAGGACCCTGAGGGGCACTAGTTTCAAAAACTTCTCACCGGCCACGGAAAATAACTTTGTTCTCTTTGGTCTTTCGATCGGAAGTGCGAGAAGGTAACGCTGAAGGTAAACAGACGGCTCAGTGCAAACAGCCTGCTGCTTCAGAGCTCCAAAGTCTGAGTTAAAACATGGTGTCCTGTTAGAGCAGCTTCCCGCAGCCAACGGCCCCTGTGCCTGTGTCCCTGGTCCAGCTCACTGACTGCAGGAGAACTTTGGGCACACAGCTGCAGGGACCAGCCAGCTCTCTCCCGGGAAAGGATATAAGCAGACTCGGTCTGGGCTTCGAAATAGGAGAGGGAAGGGACGTTTGTCATTTCTGTCCACGGTACAGTGGAAATTGGTGACACAGCCGGTAGCATTTTCCTTCTCCAAATCTGGCAGTTTGCTTGACCATCAAGTTTGCAATGATCTCTACTTTAGACTTTTTGGACGAGACTAGGTCAGGGACTGCCCAGTGATGGCCAGGGGTCCGTTCTTTCCCTTAGAACTGCTCGTTATCCTGGGCAGGGGCAGCCCAGGCTCCTCCCACTAGAAGCAGAGGAATTATTAAAAGTCAGAACATGTGTTCATTCATTCTTTTTTCTTCCTGAGCAAGAGGGGAATGGGGATGGGGAAAGAGGTGTGGCCCATGAACAGTTTCTGCAGATCTTTTTGTGCTGGCTGTCTCTGCCTTGCCTGTCCACTGGAATTAGCTGGGGAGCTTTAAAAAAAAAAAAAGAAAAGAAAAGAAAAGAAACAGAGAGACCCAGGTCTCACCCTGGAGACTCTTATGTAATCAGGCAGGGAAGGACTCTGGGGACTGGGATTTTTTTAAAAGCTCCCCAGTGATTCCCGTGCCCCGAGAACGGGCATCTCTGTTCCACAGGAGGAGCTGTGCTGAAGCCTCACTGCTGGGGAGGGCTTACCCGTCCTTCTCAAGGTGACAGAACTGCTAGTTTCTCTGGAGTCGGGCTTATCCCCTTCCCTTCCCCAGCCTTGAACTCTCATTTTCATGAACACACCCCTCCACAGCCCCAGAGCTCTTGATAAGGAAGAGCCTCCCACAGAAGCTGGGGAAAGGTCAGCAGATGTGTGATGCTGACGTGGTGGAGATACGGATCCCACATCTTCCCTGCCAGGACTAGTTGTGAGCGGTCTGTAACAGCAGGAGGCTCGCGGGGGCCTGACACTTTCTTGTCCTCTAGGAGGGACACATCTGGGGCTCCATGAGGAGGACAGCTTTCATCTTGGGCTCTGGCCTTCTCTTGCTCGTGGCCTTCTGGAACTCAGTCACATGGTGAGCTGCCAGCTTTCCTTCACGACCTGGGGACAGTGTGCTGGGGGTCCTGAGGTGGAGCGTGCGGTAAGAAACTGTCCACCCTCCAGTCTTCACCCGGAAACCTCAATGACTTCTCTTCCAAGGCATCTTCAGAGATTCTGGGGCGCTTCTGGCTATTTTTGGCAAGCCCAGTGGGAGAGGCTGCTGTCGACATTCGAAGGGAAGGAGTGGGCCCTCTACATTATAGGTGAGCCTTCCAGACCGTGAGTGCTTAGGGTTTGGGTACACGATCACAGCTTAATTCTTTGTCTGTGGTTTTCTTCGCTACTTTGAGATTTCTCAGCTCCTTATTCCAAGGAATGAAGACCTTTATGACAGTGGTAATCCCAAAGAGGGCTAATCATAGGCAGTCTGAAATGGCTGCCTAAGGATTTCTAAGAAAAGAACCTGAGACTCCCCTCCCCCTGAAAATAGAAAAATTTAAAAACAAACCGTGTGTCTGAAAATGAATGCATGTTTCGAGTACCAGTCCTGCTTCTGGATGTCGGGTCCACAAGCACAGAGAGCTGCTTGATCTCCTGTGAGACTGTGTCCTCATCCCTGGTATAATCTAGCTCTTGGGGCTTGACAACAAGTGGTCACTTAATATTAATATTTACTGATGTTGTGAATGACTCACAATAAGCCAAAGAAAATGTGGTGGAAGAAAAAAGACATGTTAACAGGTATTTATATCAGCATTATCGACAATGGTGAATGTCCTCAATCACGAGTTCGTTCACGCAAAGAATGTTAATGTCACTCTGCCAAATTTTTGTGGAGGATATAGAGATACTTAAGATGAAGTGTTTATCCCATTTAAAAAACTATGTCACAGGGGTGCCTGGGTGGCTCAGTCGATTAAGCATCTCCAGTTCTTGATTTGGGCTCAGGTCACGATGTCAGGGTCCTGAGATGGAGCCCGATTTCAGGCTCTGTTCCCCGTGAGGAGTCTGCTTGGGATTCTTTGCCTTTCCTCCCTCTGCTCCTCTCCCCACTTCCCCTGCCTCCCACGCGTGCACTGTCTCTCAAAAAAAATTTTTTCTAAAAAAATAGTAATAAAAAACTATGTCACAGTCTAGAAGGGGAGATAAAAAAAAAAAGTGCCAATTGTCACAAAGCAAAAGTACAAATAAAATGTCCTTGACAATTGTTTTCAGCTGGAAGAACTCTGAAAACAGGCTAAACATTAAATATGACAGGTTCAGTGCAAGCTGTCATTGAAGAGTCATTGAAAAGAACAATGTAGATTATAAACATATATGGGGAAGTAGTGGGAAAACATTTGATACATATACATACATATACACACACACACACACACACACACACACACATATATATATATATATACACACACACATATATATATATGTATGTATATATGTTTGTTACAGTGATGGGAAAATTGCCTTTCACCCCAATGATAAGCAAATATGAAGAAGATCAAATTTTAAGTGTTACATCTGGAAAAAAGTTCAAGATCTTATCTTGTTGGGGCTTTTATTCTGTATTCCTTCAGGAGCCTTTGGATCTACAAGGAGGCACTACCTTGATGGTTGGCCCGCTAGGCAACCACCAGCATAACATTATTTTTTTTCCAAATTAAGAAAGCATGTAATTTCTGAGAATAAAAGTAAATACATGTTCATTGTTAAAAATAAACATCAGACAATTCCAATAAGCATAAAGTGAAAGTCACCCACTCATATCCAAGAAATAACCACAGTTAATATATTAGTATAAGTTGTATAAATAAAGTGTAAATTAGTATAAATATAGAAGAGTCTATATTGGATATATGGTTGAGCTTAGACAATACCAACTATTTTTTTATTTTATTTTTTTTCATTGAATAGATTGTGGGCATCTTTCCATGTCAGTTCGTATAAACTGACTTTACTATTTTAAGCTGCCCAGTCTAGTCCGTTATATAGAGATACTCTAATTTGTTTAGTGCATTCCCTATTAATAGACACTCAGGCTCCTTAAGGGTTCTATTGTGTTTGTTTGTTTGCTTGTTTGTTTTATGTGGTAATGGCTATATATGTGTATGGACATGTGTGGCCTTTTTCTTTTTCTCCCCCCACCCCCCGCCACCCCCCCGCCCTTTTCTGTTGCTCTTCTCTTCTTTGGATACTGCCAGATTACTCCCTAGGATCCTGTGTTAATCCTGTTTCCCCACAGCGCTGGCCAAGTGTTTTTCAGGTCCCAGTGGACGCAAGCACTGGGGTTTCTGGTGGGAGCAAGAAGGGTACAGGAAGAAGAGTACAGAGACTCAGAGTTAAGTAAAATGCCCTTGGGATATTTAGAAAGAGGCGGCAAAACACGGACAAAGTTACTAGTGCAAGAGTTAGGTAACATTGTATTGTTATTCCAATAAGTGGCAATCCTAGTGAAGAAAGTGCTTGTTTGTTTATAGTCAGAGATCAGAGATTCTCAGAATGACTACAGGAAAGTGGGATGTGGAGCAAAAAAAAAAAAAAGCCCTATCTAAATTTTGCAAGTGTGGATCACCAGTTTGCTAAAGTATCCTGCAGAGCATCAGTGCTGTGGGATGTGAATGGGTGGGGTGGCCGTACAATTTTTCATCCAAAGAGGAACATTTGTGAAACTAGATGAGGTGGTGTTAATAATTATGCTAGATTGCCTGATGTAAATTCAAACTGTCCTGGGCAAATGGGTACAGGGCCATCATGTTCTTAGGTGTTCTGAGAAAATAGAGTTCCTGGGTGTAAAAAAGGATTGGGAAAGGCTGGGCTTAATTAACCAAGTCAAATGGGTTTCTCTTAGAGCTGCTAGCAGGCTATTCTGGACCATGACTTTCTAAGAAAATGGGTATGAACACTGTTTAAACAAGGATGCCTTGAGAGATGAGTTTTCCACTTTGGGAACTGCTGGCTAGATACCTGAACTCCCACTGCTTAGTTCATAGGGTCATAGGGATTAAGGTTCTGACTGACTCCTAGTCTAGTGTTCATTAGGAACCCTGTCCTACCAAGCACTTCCTCTGCTTCTCCCTCCCTTGGGAATTCATAAAGTGTTCAGTGGGCACAGACTCCCAGCTGTCAACCTAAATTTATTTGTAGTTTGTTTATTCATTATTATATGGATTTTATATTTATTATAAATTTTATTTCTATTTAACAATTTTTTTTTAAATCTTCAACAACCTAGAAGTTTGTGGTCTCCATTTTACAACTAAGAAAATAGAGACACTCCTTAAGTGACCTGGCCAAGCTCCCCCAGCTAGTCGGTCACCCCAGGACTAAAGATAAGACCCTCTGGCCAGGAGCACCAAGACCTCCCCAGCAAGGGACCATCTACCACACAGCCTTTGTGTTCCGTTAATACATGTGCCGTGAGAACCCGAAGTACCCTGATTGTTTCCTTCTGCTCCCTACCCTCAGGTGCCGCCCAAGTACCAGTTCTGCTCTTCTGGGTCTTCAACGGGCTTCTGCTGGTGGTTGACACAACCGGAAAACCTAACTTCATCTCCCGCTACCGAATTCAGGTTGGCAAGAATGAACCAGTAAGTGTGGCAGTGGCTTCTCCGGGTCAAAGCATAGAGGGCGCAAGCAAAAGCCACACTCAGAATGCTCACCACGGGTCTGGGAGAGAGCATGGCCTCTTCGAGCCAAGTTACTGTGTAGAAGGTTGGAGAGAGGAAGTAATCTGCCCCAGATCTCAGAGCCAGCCAGGCAGGACAAATATCCTGGCCCTCTGATTCCCATCTGTGGCTCTGCACCTGCCTGCGCTGCCCCTCAGCACTGTGATCAGCATTTTGGGAACCAGAATGATGGGCTCAGCCTGGTACCCGGCTGAGTGCAGAGACAGCAGGCAGCTTCCCCCTCAGTGGCCGGGGTAGGGATGGCCATGGCCAGATGCCGAAAACACGGAGGACAGCTGTTGACACAGTGGCTGGCCCACGATGGATAGAGGGATGTGATGTGTGGGCGGGGGCTGCTTTTCAAGCAGGTCCTCCTTCCCAGTCATTCACTTCAACTGCGGGTGTGTAGCTTATCCACAAGAAGCCAGTCCTGGACCCTGCTTACAGGGAACTCCTAACCCAGTACCCAGGTCTTCCACTTAATGGCACTGGAAGGGAGCCTCCCCCCACACCCGCACCCCTCCTACCCCTCCAACCCTCCCACCCCCACCCCTAGACCGGCCTTCAGCCCAGTCTCCCGCTTGTGCTGTGACAACCTCCAGGAGCCTTTTCTTATGCAACAAGTTCATTCTTAACTCCAGATTCTTTCGCCAGCTCCACCTGAAACCACATTTTGGCTCCCTTCCCAGAGAACACACACGTCTTCTAAATGCCTGCCTAGGTGCCTAGGTGACTCATCTCTGCATCAGGGCATTCTGCCACTGCCCAGTGCTCCAGAAAGCAGAATGGGTGAAAAATAATGCCCTTGACCCAGGATTTCAGAAGAGCCTCTTCCTGAACCAGAGCTACTGGCCACGTGCGCTGGCTCCGCTCATTTGAGACTGTCCCCGCCGGCCGATCCGGGGGCTTTCTCCGGGTCCAGCTTTGCAGGCTTGGGCTGGGGCTGATGTCAAAGCCAGTGCTGGACTGTTGAGAGCCCTTCATCTGTCAGACCGTGGTGGTCTCCTCACTAGGCACCACGGAGTAAATGCTCAAGGCCAGGGACTGTCCTAACCTTCATGGTTCAGACGAGGAAATAGGCTCTGAGGTGTGACATGGGTAGCTGATGCACGCTCCAACTCTCTGACCCCCCAGGGCTCATGCTCTCACCCCCAGGCCACATGAGCTCTCAAGAGTATCACTCACCTTGACCACATTCATGGTGACAGTCTCCAGTGGTTGGAGAGCAACACAGGGAAGGTCTTTTTGCCTGCTGCCAAAGCCGAGGTTCAGATAGGGGCCATGACTAGCTCAAGGTTAGAGTGTCACTAGGAAACAGAGCCTGGGCCCCTCTCATCAGACTCCAGGTCTGGTGCTCCCACAGTGTGGGCCTCCACAGGCGCCCAGCACCTGCCCTGTTTGCTCTCCTGCTCCCTGGACAGCCTGTTTGCATCTTCCCCTCCCTCCTCACATCCCCAACACTTCCTTCCCTGACCTCCAGGAGGACAGCCTCGCTTCCTCCTTCACTAAGCAGAAGAAAGATCCCACCGGCTCTCTCCACCTCAGCCCGTGAGCGTACCTGCAACCAGGCTGTTTGAAAGAGTTGTCTGTAGGGTTTCCAGCTCCCCTCAGTCCCCTCTTTTCAGCCAGCATATTGCAATTACAAAAAATGGTAAACATAGATACAGAAGTTGAAACAAAGCAGTACGACGATCACTCATTCACATGTCGCCTGGATTCGCTACTTTTAAACATTTTACAGTATTTGCATTACGTAGATGTAGAAATACAAATACGTACGCACCTGTCATTTTTAGCTTAACCATTTGAAAGTAAGTTCCAGACATTACAGATTCGCCTGCAGTGCTTCAGCCGGTATTTCCCTGATAACCGCAAACCCACCATCTCACCTCTTGTGTGAACCTGCTCAGGTCAGGCCCTCACCCCCCCCCCCCCCCCCCCCCGCTCTCGAAGGTTCCTCTCATTAGCCCTAGCAGGCTTGTCTTCACAGGGGCTTGTCTCTGCCTTCGTGTTGTATATTCTCCTACCTGGCTTTCAGCTTCTCCTCCCATCTTAGTGGCCGCTCCTTCACGGTCTCCCTTCTGGTGACTCCTCTTCTCCCCCACCTCTTAATGCTAAGCATCCTGGGGTTCAGGCCTTGCTCCCCACCTCCGTCTTCACTCCCTCACTTTTCTCTTCCAGTGTCATGACTTTAAATACAGTCTATATGCCGACAGCGCACAGATTTCTATCTCTAGCCGGGGCTCTCTTCTGAATTCCAGGCTCGGATTGCCAAAGGCCTCTTTGACATCTCCCATCCAGAATGTCCCCAAGAGAACTTCTGATCATCCCCTCAAAGTCTGCCACCCACATTCTGGAAGGAAGTTCATGGCAGGGCCGCCCTTCACTACCCCCACTGGTCCAAGCGGTCATTCTCTTCTGCCTACAGGACTGTTCTCACTCGTCTCTCTCGGTCTAGTCTTACTCCTCCAGTCTGTGGTCAGCGCAGTGACTGGAGTAATCCTGTGAGAGTTTGTCACTTCTCTTCCCATCACGACCCCGCATTTCCCTTGTATGAAAAGCCAGTTTTCCCAATGACCTACAAGGCCGTCTGTGCTCTCGCGCCTCCCCACCATTTTGGCCTCACCTCCTACTTCTCACACTCCTCTCCAGTCAGAGATGCCCGAGAGGTGCAGACAGCCTTTCACCAGCTGTGCCCTTCGCCTGAAGACCCCCTGCAGCTCTCCTTTCCCTCACCTTCCTCCTCTCTTTGTTTAGATCTCACCATCTCCACAAAGCTCACCCTGACCATTCTATTTAAGATTACTGGCGCCAGGAATAGAAACTCAAGGAGGGGAGGAACCTTTGTTTTGCTCATGCTTGCTTCCCAGCACACAGGACACCGCCTGCAGTGTCGAGGGTGCTCAAGACCTATCAGCCGAATCACTGAAGGAGTAAACATGCGTGACACCCTCCTCTGGGTCAGGGTTTCCAGAAGGTTGTATGGCTTCATCTACAGGTGCTCCCAAAAAAGGCTGGCCTGGCCTGGCTTCACCGTGGGATGGAACTGAAAGCTTAGAGCGTGGATTCGAGTCAGTTAGTCCATGCCGTGCTGGAGAAAGCTGGAGGAAGAGCAAAGCTGAAGCCTGACGACCACTCAGAACCCCTCCAGCTCATGGGGGCAACTCAGGGAGAAATCCCTTCTGACCAGTCCCCAAACTAGTTTGTCAGGACCCAGGAAGTGACCCGTGGTCATGCGGCTATTCCAGGGAGCCCCAGTGCTCTGAGGAAGGGAAGGGTCAGGTACTGATTCTTGGGCAAATGCTGGCTAGAGTATTGAGGCCCAGTATTGAGGGTGAGAGATTTTGGAGCCAGCTTGCCAGAGAAAACCTGGACAGAGTGCTCAGGCAGGTCCCAATCCTGACAGTCCCACCATGAAAACCAGGAAGACCAAGTCACAGGAACTTTAGTCAGGACCTGGATAGGCAGTTCTCTAGCTCATCTTCTCTTCACTCTGGGCCTGGTCAGGGAGGCTGGGCCACAGGAGGGGGCAGGTGACCTTGATCTCTGCACCTGATATGGTCAAGCCTCTGTGGATGAGGAGGGGCTCAAAGGCTGAAAAAGGGTATCAACCTGAGAGTTGACAGCCTTCTCCAAGCACCCTAGAGGCACCCTACAGTGCCTGTCAGGAGCATGTCTGGGCCTGGCTGGAGAAATGGGGAGAACAGTGGTGACACTTGGCAGGAAGAAGACAGGCTCAGGCTGACTTGGAGGCTGCTGAGAAGGGAGTTTCCAAAAGCAGGGTTATCACCGGATGGGCCACCCTAGGGCTTGGGCAGCAGCTGGGGGCTGCTGGCTATGGCCAGACATCACACTGAGCATCCACCCCAGAGTGAGGGCCCCCTGTGAGAGGATCACAGCGAAGCCGTTTCTAGAATGGAAAGACCTCCTTCCTTACCTTGGGCAGGTGGACGCCGAGAAACTACGCCAGTCTGTCCGCACAGTTCTCTTCAACCAGTGCGTGATCTCTCTGCCCATGCTGGTCTTCCTCTATCCCATCCTCAAGCTGTGGGGAGACCCCTGCCGCCGAGAGCTACCCACCTTCCACTGGTTCCTCCTGGAGCTGGCTATCTTCACTCTGATTGAGGAAGTCCTGTTCTACTACTCGCACCGGTGAGCTGGTCCCGGCCCAGACACAGCTGGCTGCTCACTCTCCCAGGGCTCACTTGGAAGGGAGGAAATTGAGGCCTCAGAGCAACACCACCTGGCCTCAAAAGCCACCTCTTAGTTAACGTGGACACCAACTGTTTGTTCCACGACTGACAACTTGAGGCAACTGACAGAGGACGTCCAGCAAAGAAAGCCGCTGCATTCATGAGCAGTGGGGTGCTTCCCCATTTGTTTCCTTACTGAATTCTTTGTGGGCACCATTCCTGCCATCCCCACAGCTAGTACAGCTGAGGTAGAGGCAAAGAAACCCACCCCCCAATTATGCAGCGTAAGAGGTGGGGTTAGAACGCAAAGGCAGGTCTGAGTGCCAATCCAATGTGTTTGCAACTTTTGCTCCATAGGAGGAACTCTTAGCTCCTACCTTTGGTTTCTCATGGTCTGGTGGGAAAGGGAAAAGGGAGACTGGCAGATTATTAACTGTTAACTATTTTTCCAGGCTCCTTCACCACCCAGCATTTTACAAGAAAATCCACAAGAAACACCATGAGTGGACAGCTCCCATTGGCGTGATCTCTCTCTACGCCCACCCTATCGAGCATGTGGTCAGTAGAGGTCTCCTCTCCAGAGGCAAAGGGCAGAGGGCCCCAACCACCTTCCCAAAGTCCTCCCACAGAGAATTAAGACCACAGTGGCCCTTTCTCCCTTCTTCCCATTCACCAGCTACCATTTATTGTTGACCCAGTCTGTGCTAGGCTTTGGGAGATGCCCAGCAGAAGTTATCTCAAACAGTAACTTGTCTGAAAGTTAAAAAGCTGAAGGACTCCAGTGAATCAAGGTCCTGCAACTCTTTCAGCTTCTCCAGATCTGAGTCAAAGAAGTCCTGCTGGTACCACCCTGGGGCAAAGTGGACACCCATTGGGTCCCCTCCATCTCCCTGGGACCCACCTTCAAAACAGCCCTCCCCTTGCAGGTCTCCAACATGCTGCCGGTGATGGTGGGTCCCATAATAATGGGCTCCCACTTGTCCTCCATCACCGTGTGGTTCTCCTTGGCCCTCATCACCACCACCATTTCCCACTGTGGCTACCACCTACCTTTCCTGCCTTCACCTGAATTCCATGACTACCATCATCTCAAGTAAGACCTCTTTCCCCACTGTGGGTCCTTGAGCAATAACCTTCACTTTCTCTCCTGGAGATTCCAGGAGCAGACATGACCCAGGTATCTTCAGTTTCCTTGTGATGGTACTAGTGGAGGGAGAGTTCTAGAGGTTGGCAGAATAAGGACCATGCTGGACCCAGATCACCTTGCTCTATTCCTTCTTCCTAACACTGGGTCTTCCTGCAGCTGTGGGTTTTTAACCTTTACTTAGGTCCTGGGCCCTTTGAGTACACCTAAGAATACTGCACACAATTCAAGGGGAATTGTCTATTTCCTCAGTGTAGTGGTTATCATGTCCGCCTCACAAGGGGAACTGTCTCTCTGAAAGCCTCCGGGCTTTTGCAAGTGTGGTCTACAAATCTCCAGCGCCATAATTACCTGAGATAACCTTGATAAAACTCAGGTTTGGGGGTTCTGCTGCACATTGCTGAATCAAAGCGGGTGGGGCAGCAGGACTCGCAAACTGCGTTTTAGTTAAATGTTCTGGGGGATTCTGATGGAGGTGGCCCCTGAACCAACCTGAACAAGCCAAGCTCTGCCACACATTCTGACTTGTGTGCGGCGGAGTCAGATAGCTTTTCAAAAGGAGAGCATAGGTTGTCAGTCCAGAGTGGCCCCAGGAATGTGCACAACTCCCTGGGATGTTCTGATGGAGGCGGTCAGCATGTTGGGGATGGGTGTTTGGGGTAGGAGGGCTTAGAGATGTAAGGCTAGCATGAATGAAAAGAACAGCACACCAGTCTCCTGCACCATCCTCTCTCCTCCAGGTTCAACCAGTGCTATGGGGTGCTGGGGGTGCTGGACCACCTCCATGGGACTGACACAGTGTTCAAGCAGACCAAGGCCTACGAGAGACACATCCTCCTGCTGGGCTTCACCCCACTGTCTGAGAGCATCCCGGATGCCCTGAAGAAGATGGAGTGAGACAGGGCCCCAGGGCCATCCTGGCTGTCCCCCTCAGTCCACTGCTCCGGTGGCCTGAGGCATTCTGACGGCACCAAACTTGCTCCCCCAGCCATTCACTAATGACGGCACCACTGGGGCAGGCGGTTAGATCATCTTCCCAGAAAAGCAGGCCAAGGATGGGGCCAAGGCTCCCCCAGCTGCCCCTATTGTCCCTCAGAAGGAACAAGAAGGAGTTGGCTTAAGGAAGGGGGTAAAACAGCTCCCCAGAATGGAGGCCCGTGAGAAGAAACCACTTTTAAGGGTGGTCCTGGTGAGTCCCCCTGGTCGTTTGCTGCAGAAGGGGAAAGATGACCCCAGATGACCTTTTTATGACCTAGACAAGACACAGAGAATGCAAAAGTGGCGGTGAGATAGGAAGCTACTGCCAGCTCTGGGAAATCTCTGGGTGCCAGGGGGTGAGGGAACCAGAAGGTATTACTTTGCCCCTTCCTGTTGCTAAAAGCTTTTCTCATATCCTACTCTGGCCAGGGCTAGGACACCCTCATTTCCAAAACATACACACATACACAGTCAGCTAACACAGGCCCCATTTCAACTCTACCCCGTTGCAAACATCCCTCTATGAAAAGAAAAAAGCCTATCACAGAGCGCCCCTCGCTGGATATCAAAGAGATGCACGCCAACCCCCACCTTCAGCCGGATGTGAAAACACAGAAACCAGAGGCCAAACCCTGCTGACCTGCTAAGCTGGAGGTCCTTTTATCCACAGAAGGGAGGGTCAGAGTTCCTGACCTTTGGGGACACCCAACTGAGGGGGCTAGAACCCTCTCAGAAAAGGCAAGAAAAACATGGCTGACCAAAGGGCAAAACCCTTTTCCTTCCCCCAGATGATTGACCAGTTGTCTCAACACCACTTATTTCCAATGAAATTTTGTCAGGAACCTTATTATCTGAAACAAAACCGAAGACCTGCGTGGGCTGCAGCAGCCCCCGGCCTGGCCTTCCCTCAGCAGCCAGACGTTGTCACGAACCCTGCAGCTCCCAAGGACAATCTGAAGACCACCATTCTCAGTTACTCAATTCTTGTTATTTGGACTTTCAGCTGTCAAGAAAACCATCCGTTGTTTTATGAACCACCTTAATTGATACTGGATAGGGCCAAGTCTCCAGGCAAATCTAAGACTCCTTCCTTCCTATCAGCGCTACAACTCCAGACCTGCCCAGTACACCAACTGGGCACTTACCAGCTTCCTCCTTGGCCTTCGGAACCCCACCTGCCCCATCCCCTAGTCTGGCCTTGGTGGGCCTGGCCCCATCCCCAGAACACCCATGCCCTGAGCTTAAGTCTAGCTTTTGGTGCACCCACGGTCTGAGCCGCCGCAGCTGCCAGCCCGCACGCACAACCCCTTCTTACAAGTAAACACTTAGGAAACAGCCCATCTTCGGTCTACTTAATAGGGTAGGGAATGAGGAATGTGGAGGAGGAGGAAGAATAGATGCCTTTTTGCCCGTGAGGGCTTTAGACTTTGAGGTACCGTAGAGGGTCGAGAGGCTGACAGTCTCTCATACCTTTTGGCAGCCAGGGGCTGGGCTCGGACAGGGGGGCCTGGGCCCGTTCTCTTCTTCACCGAACAGAATGGCCCTGAGGTTGGGTGAACAAGTGAGGCTTACGAAAAGGCAGACGTCACCAAACTCCCAACAGACCTTGTGAGGGTAAAAGTGGAAGGCATGGGAAATAAACTGATCTCTTAATTCCAGTAGGCACTTCCATGTTTTCTCTGACTAGTCCGGACACTCCTAACCACATGACATCTGGGAGCCACAGCCGTGCGATAACCATCAGTGGCCGCTCTGAGCATCCTTACCAGGCTGTGGAAGTAGGGTGTCTGCCTGTCCCCAGATCCACCTACAGAAGCCCCGGTTGCCACCTTCTTGACTCTTCTTCAGCCCATGGAGGCAAGCAGTGGTCCTAAAGCACCTGTCCACGGAAATAATGGTGGGATTCTTTGGAAAACCACTTCTACTGGGATCTCCAGTGCTAGGCACGAGAGAGTGGTCAGATTAATGAGTAGGGAAGGCCATGCCTCACTTCCAGTTTTGTAATTCTACATCTAGGCCAGACTGGCATTCCAAACGTTTGTTCTGCCAGTGCCCGGCCTCACAGGTCAGGGAAAAGCCACCGACAGCCCAGGAGCCGGTCATGGGTTGGGTGGGGTATAGTCGTCATTCCAGCTTCAACCCTCAGGGCTCACTGGCTGGCCTGGATTTCCCTAAGGCCAGAGCACTGACCCGTTAGTCCTCTACAACCTAGCAGGGGAAGTCTTCAGTGAGGGGTGGTGCTGGCTGTCCATGAGGCATCCCAGCAACCTTCCTGGCTGTCTCCTTACAAGATGCCAAGCCACAGTCAGAGGACAGAAATCCCGGGAGCCGTGCAAGGGGGCAGAACCCCAGAGCTGCTGCCCGGCAGCTCCCCATTCTGTGGCACCGACTACCGCTGCCACGTCTCACCTGAGACCCAAGGTGGCCGTGAACTCAAGGCTGGCAGGAGCCCTCAAAAACCACTGAGGACTCCTCCTGGAACCATTCAGCAGCAGCTCTGGGAGTCTGCTCCCTAGGCAGACTCCTCACAAGCACTACAGCAGAGCCCTGCAAAAGCTTTCATGCGCACATTGCACATTCCGACTGCAGGACTCCCTGGATCTGAGGCTCCATCCCTCAAGAGCTGTACCCCAGATGGGAGACCAGCCAGTGTTTTGCCTTTTCAAGTTTTTATTTTTATACATTTTTTTTGTATTAAAAAGAAAAGCATAATTACCACAAATTACAAAGGACTAAAGCAGGACTAGAATAATGAATGAATCACTTCAGCCTGGAAAGCAGATGCTCTCAATAATATTAATGTTATAATACAAGCTCATTCAAGTATTTTACATTTTTTTTTGTCCTTTTAAATGTGATATCCTAGCACATGGTAAAGATAATGTACTATGAGCGTAAGGTGGAACCTTCTCCGCAAAGCCAGATGACAAGTTTTCCTCGCCAGTGAGAAACGGGCTAGAAGTTCTGATCTTCTCTGCCTCTGCCATTGACATGGCTGAAGGAGAGGGCAGGGGCGGGGGCAAATCCAGGGGCCTTTCCAACAGGACATACTTTGGGTCCCACTCACAAGGGCACCAGATCATCCACACCGCTGTACTCAGGCTTTTTTGGCAAAAACAAAAACAAAACCCACGCCCACCCGCCCTTGCCCCTTGTCTAGTCGTCTTCCTTGCCCCTGCTCCCCACTTCCAGGGCCTGCTGAGCAGCTTACTTTCTTTTGTAAAATCAATCATCAGGAAAGGGGGAAAAATGAGCTACAATGGAACAAAACAAAAACGTAACAACTTTGACATGGGGGCTCAGCACCTAGGCCTGAGCCCCAGGGGTCCAGGCTGGGGCAGGGCCAGGCAGCCACTCTACTGGGAGTGAGTCTGCCGCCAGGTTCAGAAGAGGGCAAGAGAACCCTGCCCCTTAGCAGGGCTGAGGCACTCAGACCTTGTGATGTTTGATGCCCAGAGGTCATACTGGCGTGGACCACTCGTGGAGGGGTACAGGATGAGTGGAAGGGTTTGGGCAGGCTGCTTTGTCTCAGGTCTTGGGACCCCCACGGGAGGGTGGTGGGTGTGAAGCGGCAAGCCCCTGATGGCTCCGGCCACTCCTGGCATGCCTGTCACAGATACGTCGGTCCTAAATTCAAGTGTCTTCAGAAAGTGAAGATGTAAACTACTCTTTGCAACATTAACTCCTAACATGTTACAAAAAAAGAAAGAGAAAAAACCCCTCCCCCCATCCTCAGCCTGTGATGAGATGAAGTCCTCACCTCCCCACCCCAAAGGGGCTTCCTCTCTCTGGGGTGTCTGTGGGAGAATCAGGGAGGGGATGGCAGCCCCCTGGCCTGGGAGTAAACTCTAGGTTAAAGAAAAGCCTTTCCGCACACCCCCAAGGCTTCCTTGCGCCCCCAAACCCAGCAGAGGACAAACACTGAGGTTCTATGGTGCTGGATACAGTACAGGGCTGAGCGACCCAAAGGAAGGGGGTAAAAAGGGAAGAAGGGATGCAGGAGTCCAGCATCTGATACAACACAGGGCAGGCACCAAACAGCAGGGGAAGGCTTCAGATCCCACTTACAGAGCAAAGACCAGACACTCATCCTTGACTTTCGAGACAAACCAGGTCACAGGAACTGAGGTGGGCTTCCCACATACTAACCACTGGGAGCGCAGAGATGGGGAAGGGTACAGGCCAAAAGCGGTGAGGTGCCCGTAACAGAGGGCAAGCCCTTGCCAGTCTGGGATACTGTCTCCTGCTCCTAATCTTTGGGCCCAACAGAAGAAACAGTTAAAAAGAGGGCCAAGGAAGTGTCAGCAATGGAGCAACACTACCATCAACTTCTCTGTGCTGCTCGGTCCCCACTACGGGGGAACATGTCACGCCCGCACCTGACACACAGCTCAATCTGTGTGGGTTAGTCCTTCATCACCCTCCCTAGTTTTGGGTGCCAGCGGACTCCAACCATGCCATTGTCGCTCAGCCCGACCCCAGCAGTCAGTGGCTGGAGAAGAGAAGTCAGGTATACTCTATGTCCACATATACCTTCCTGCCGCGGGGCTTCTCCAACTGGCAGGATTCCCCCCAGCCCTCAAATCCTCCTCATCCCTCATTCCCAGGCAGGGTCAATTGGAGGGTGGGCAGAGATGGCTTGCAGAGGGGGGATGCAAGATGGGGAGACCCCTCCAGACCCAAGGGAGGAGAATGGCATCCTTCTCCGCCTGTTAGGAGACAAAGCCTCCTTGAGGTCTCAGAGCTTTCCGGGCAACATGTTCCCCAGCCTCGGCTGCCAGGTGTTCACCTTTCCCCTTGGAGGTGGGGGGGAGATGGTCAAGCTGAGGCCAAGTGTGTCCCAGATCCAGGCCAATGCTCTTCTTCAACAGTTTGAAGCCAACCTGGCCTTGGGGTTCCCAGGGTAGGATGAAGGGTGTCACGGCAGGACGGGGCCTGTCATGAAGCAACAGCAAGCAGAGCGAGGACACGACAGTGGCAGCAGTGTACAGACACAGGACGTCAGCTTCAAACGATGCAACAGCAGGGGTATTTCAGGGACGGCTCTACGTGAGCCGCCCCCAACTCTCTTGCCTACAGGCAGGAGGCACTGTACATGCAACTCAGTCCAGAGGAAGATTCTAGCCAATCCAGCCCAGGCACATCCAGAGAAGGTGTGAGCTCTTCGAGTTGACTCCACCGAGGAAAACAGGCATTTGGGTATTTGATTCCCGCTCCACAATAAGGCAACTTTTAAAAAAATATTATTTCCAAGAACAAAACAAAACAAAAAACAAAATCCAAGGGTAGGGGAAAGACATCACTTTCTGAGGATTAGGTGGGGGTTTTCTGATTTATTTTTTTGGTCTTTTGTGGTCGATTTTGTCTTTTTTTTTTTTTTTTTCCATTTTTCCAAGGATGGAAAGGTCAGAGAAAAATAAAATAAATCATCTTTCAATAGTCTTTTCTGGTATGAGCAGCGTCTCTCTGGGCTGGGGAGTAAGGGGTATGGGGAGAGGGGGATGGGGAGAGGATGAAACCTTCCCCTGCCCCCACTTCTAGATCCTTTGGTTTCCTTCTCCTAGAAGATGGCAGAAGGGCATGGTGGGGACAGCAGGGGGAGAACATGGTGATGACAAGCCCCAGATGATCAGGGGGCTGATGCTTGTGGGGCCCAGGGACGCTGCCAGAGCCTTCCATGGGACAGTGCTGGGCAATGGGGCCCACAGGGCCTTCTTGTGGGCTGCATAGTTGGCTTGAGGGGGAGCAGGAGGCTGTGGCTGGGAACCAGGGTGGCGGCCTACCAGCCGCGGGCAGGGCTACAGAGTGATTTTGGTAATCCAGACGAACTATCAATAATTTAAAACTTGATATATATATATATATATATATAAAAAAAATCTCCCCCCTTTCCCTCCCCCCCCTTAGAAGAAGCTAGGATGTGAAGAAGAGTCATGGAGAGAGGAGGGGGAAGAGGGTGTGTGGAGGCTCCTGCCCAGGGGTACCTCTGATAGCCCAAATGGTGTACACGTTGCTACTCAGCACAAAGGCCCATTCTAATGACTCGAGGCCTGTCCCTTCTCTGTCCCCTCTCCTGGGACTGGGCACCCCCATGGACTCTTGCCCACCCCGTCCCCACCCCCCCAAACCCCAGGGCTAATGGGCTTTTCACTTTCCCAAAGTCTGTGTGTCCGAGTGCTGGCTCGTCCATTTGGCATCTTCCCGGACGGGCTGGCCAGTGGGTGGTGTAGGGGGTTGGCTGATCATGGTGGCGGGCCTGCTGGAAGACTGGGAGGGGCATCGCTTCCTGCCCTCACCGCTGCCACCTCCTGCCGCCACTGGGTGTCGCTTGTGGTTGCCCTCCTCACCCATGGGGGGCTGTAACAGAGGAGGGGATCACGGTGATTAGCAGCCACGACCCAGACCCCCTTCCTTGCCAGGCCTCTCTAGAGACCTACCTTCTTACCTCCAAATGTAGATAACAGGTGTAACCTTAAAAACCAACTACCTGTTTTATGAAGCACATCTCTGTGCCAAGATGCCAAGCCCCATGCTGTTTTCTGCACATTCACTCATGGGGTCTACACTACCCTTTGATGGAGACATGATCATCCCCAAAGTAAAGCACAAAAAAAATAATTTGCCCAGGATCCCATAGCTTGTAACCAGTAAAGACAAAATGTGGACTAGACTCATCTACTTCTGAAGCCCAGGCCTTCACCTACACAAGTTTCTGCTCCCCTTCTGAGAAGGGACTGCTGCGCAGATGACAACGCGTGGAATGTGGCCTGCATACTCTGGGACGTCTCAGCTCAGAAGGCCCAGATACTCCTGGGGATTGCCTCATCTCCTACCAAGCTCTAAAGAGGACACTGACCTGGGGCGCCTGGATGGCTCAGTGGGTTAAAGCCTCTGCCTTCAGCTCGGGTCATGATCCCGGGGTCCTGGGATGGAGCCCCCCATCGGGCTCTCTGCTCAGCTTCCCCCCCACCCTCTGCCTGCCTCTCTGCCTACTTGTGATCTCTTGTCTGTCAAATAAATAAATAAAATCTTAAAAAAAAAAAAAAAAAAAAAAAAAGAGGACACGGACCTAAGAGTCAGACCATGATCCAGTCTGGACTCATGGCTACTAAAGGTGACCTCGACGACATGTCCATTTCCGGGTGTCAAAGCTCAGCCCTTCTTCTTGTCCCACCTCCACAGGTTTTCTTACTACAAGGCTTCTCTGCACATGTGCCTCCCTCTAGCCCCCAAACGAGGAGGTGCTCAAGGATGGAAGATAACAGATTCCTCTTATACTGGGAGGGCTGAGCAACACTGCCACCATCTCACTGGGTGGTCATGGGCTCCCATTTACCCACTGGTTCAGCAACAGTAACAGCAAACCCTGCCTCCTTCACCACATTATAAAGGTTAAAGGAGATCAATATAAAGTGCCCAGCACAGTGCCTGGCACATGGTAATCACTCAATCAAGGGCAATTTTTTTAATACATTTGAGGAGTACTATTGTTACTTATATTTATCTTTTTGCTAAAAGGCTCCAAAGGGAATAATATGATTAGCATACCTCTAATATATTACAAACTCTGTGAAAGAAAAAGTTTCATTTCTGGAGTCCCTGAAGCACATGTAACGCAGAGACATCCATCACTCTAGTGCTTCCCTGGATATGCCTAGCAGCAATAACTCTGAACCACCACTGGATGTCACCATTGAGTCACTGCTCTGAGAAGGCTGGAGCGTGGTTGTGGTGGTGGGGGGTATTAAACAGAATTTATAAACTTCTAGGGCTGGAACTGGCGTCTTCCAGAAAAAACGACATTTACTTGAGTACTCACCCCAATCAACTAGTTATGGCTGACTAGGGCTCACCAGTAAGGAGGGGTAGGAGATAAAAGGGAGAGGGCATTAGGATATTTAGCTACTAGAACATGGGAGGGAGGGAGGAGCAACCATAAAAACCCCTCCAATTAGGGGTCAGAGTCCACTTCTCACCCTCTATTTTATAAGTGAAGACATCAAGGACCCAATGGGGGTAAGAGTCCCTAAGCCAGTGGCATAGCTGGGACAAGAACCCAGGTATCCTAATCTCTGGTCCAGTTTTCTTTCCAGGACAGGGGTGAGAAAAAGGACAGACTTTCACTCACATCCACTCGGAAGTCTTCCAGACGTCGGAATTTGCCGAGGTATTCTTGAAGTTTGGGGTCAATGTCCAAATTTTTGGCTTTGGAATATTTCAAGAAGGCCCAGAACTTCTCCAGTCCATAGAGTTGGCCTACAGAAAAGAAGAGGCAGAGTCAGAGAGAAGCCAGGCTGGTGAGGAGTTAAGAATAAAGAGGCTCAGGAACCAGGAGGTGGGATGTGACCTGGGTTGACCCAGGGAGGGAGAAGGGAAAGAAGGCCTGAATGACCAGGCCTTGCAGAGCTCCAACTCCAGCTCTCACCAGCTTCATAGTCCTTCACCGTTTCCTCCTGAAAATCCTTGAAGATATCCAGCCGGAACTTCTTTTCCAGGCCATAACTGTAGTATCGAAAAAGGCACTCCAAACCGTATCTGTAGAACACAAGCCAGTAAAATTGGGAAACGGTTTCTGTATTTGTAAAACAGGGAAATGTACCTGCATCACAAATGAAGTAGGAAACCATTTAAGCATACGGATTTTCAAGAAAATGCTAACTAATCTTCAAGAAGACTAATATTTAATGCTAGTCTAAGTGGGGTCTAGCAGTTTATGGTTTGCCAGGGGTCAGCAAACTCCAGACAAATGAACAATGGCCCCCTGCCCACACTCATTTGTTCATGAAATGTCACTGGCTTCTTTGTGCCAGAGGAGCAGAGCCGAGTACTTGTGACAGACAGCTCCCCCTCCAATGTCTGGCAAAGCCTGAAATATTTCTCATTTGTCCCTTTACAGAAAAAGTCTGTCAGCCCTTGGGATGAGCTCTCCAAAGTCATGTGGTCATGTTAGTTAGTAGGTTTGCTTATCTGACTTCAGAAACTTTACTTCTGGGGCACCTGGGTGGCTCAGTTGGTTAAGCGTCTGCCTTTGGCTCAGGCTGTGATCTCGGGGTCCTGGAATTGAGTCCCGTGTCGAGCTCCCCGCTCAGTGGGAAGCCTGCTTCTCCCTCTCTGCACACTCCCGCCCTTGTGCTTGCTCTCTCTCACGCAAATAAATAAAATCTTTTAAAAAAATAAAAATTTTACTTCTACGAACAATATGCCAGGGAAATGACCAAAAATACATTTTTATATTTTACAGATATATAAAACTATTCGTATCATTATTAAAATTTAAATGTCTTAGAAAAGCAGTTAAGAAAAATCATGGTAAATCTGTACAACAGAATATAAATTGTTAGGAATTATAACCTGGGGTACCCACATGGTGCAGTCAATTGAACGTCCGACTTTTGATTTCAGCTCAGATAGTGATCTTAGGGTTGTGAGATTGAGCCCCGTGTTGGGTTCCATGCTTAGCACAGAGTCTGATTGGGAGTCTCTCTCTCTCCCTCTGCCCCTCACCACCATGTGTGCTTACATTCAGTGCTAACTCGCTCACTCTCACTCAAATAAATAAATCTTTCAAAAAAATTATAACAAATCTATACCAAGGGATACTGAGATGCTTATGATAGATTATCAAGTGGAAAAAACGTGTTTCAAAATGTTACGTGATAATTACAAATATGTAATTTTCACATCTACATAGGTATGCAAAATCTGGAAGGGCACATACTTTTTTTTTTTTTTTTTTTAAGATTTTATTTATTTGACAGATCACAAGTAAGGAGAGAGGCAGGCAGATACAGAGAGGGAAGCAGGCTCCCTGCAGTGCAGAGAGCCCAATGCGGGGCTTGATCCCAGGACCCTGAGATCATGACCTGAGCCAAAGGCAGAGGCTTAATCCACTGAGCTATTCAGGCACCCCCTGGAAGGGCACATACTTAAATATATTAACACTGGTTATCTCTGGGAGTTGGGATTTTCAAATTATCTTATCTGTATTTTCTAAACTTTCAACAAAAAGCATGTAAGAATTTCTGTAAGAAGACAAGAAAGTTCAATATTTTAACAACGTGGAAAAACGCAATGCTTATAAATGATAAGACACAAACAGGAGGGGGGCCTGGGTGGCTCAGCTGTTAAGTGTCTGCCTTCAGCTTGGGTCCTGATGCCAGGGTACTGGGATAGAGCCCTGCACCGGGCTCTCTGCTCAGCAGGGAACCTGCTTCTCCCTCTCCCTCTGCTGCTCCCCCTGCTTGTGCTCCCTCTCTCACTGTCTCTCTCTGTCAGATAAGTTAAAATCTTTAAAAAAAAAAAAAAAAAGATACCAACAGGGGCGCCTGGGTGGCTCATGGGTTAAAGCCTCTGCCTTTGGCTCAGGTCATGATCTCAGGGTCCTGGGATCGTGCCCTGCATCGGGCTCTCTGCTCATCAGAGAGCCTGCTTCCTCCTCTCTGCCTGCCTCTCTGTCTACTTATGATCTGTCAAATAAATAAATAAAATCTTAAAAAAAAAAAAAAAAAGATACCAACAGGCATTCATGTGATGATCTAAATGCATTAAATATGGCAGGACATTAACACTGGTAATCTCTGGATTAAAGGGTTTCTCTCCCCACAGCTTCTTAAACATTTCTGAGGGGCGCCTGGGTGGCTCAGTCATTAAGTGTCAGCCTTTGGCTCAGGTCATGATCCCAGAGTCCTGGGATCCAGCCCCGCATCGGGCTCCCTGCTCAGCCAGAAGCCTGCTTCTCCCTCTCCTACTCTCCCTGCTTGTGTTCCCTCTCTCGCTGTGTCTCTGTCAAATAATAAATAAAATCTTAAAAAAAAAAAATTCTGTACTTCTCAAATTGCTTACAGAGAGATCTTTTATTTGGGGGGAAGAAAAGTATCTTTAAAAGGTATTTGGTTTTGTTTTTAAGATTTTATCTTCTTGACAGAGAGAGCGAGCACGGAAGCAGGGGGAGCGACGGGCAGAGGGAGAGGGAGAAGCAGGCTCTCCACGGAGCAGGAAGCCGGACCTGGGGATAGATCCCAGGACCTTGCGATCACAACCCGAGACGAAGGCAGACGCCTGACTGAGCCACACAGGTACTCTAGGTATTTGTTTCTTAATACCAAAATACTGAAAACAACCGAAGTATCTATTAACAGGAGACTGGTTAAATAAGCTGGGATACATCCATACAGCATAATAAGCCTATACTGGCTATAAAAAGGAACAAGAAAGTTATTTATATATGGACATGGAATGATCTCTAAAATATAGTATTAGGAATGCCTGAGTGGCTCATTTGGTTAAGTGCCTGCCTTTGGCTCAGGTAACGATCTCAGGGTCCTGGGATCAAGTCCTGCATTAGACTCCCTGTTCAGTGGGGGGCCTACTTCTCCCTCTGCCAAACACTCATGCTGCTTGTGCTATCTCTGACAAATAAATAAATAAACAAATAAAATCTTTAAAAAAAAATTATTAAAAAAAGTGCGAAAAAAAAACAACCCTGCAAAATAGTATCTAATAGAGACTAATCTCTGGGTAAACAACAGGGACCTGGCGGGAGACTACGGGGATATCCTTGCTTACTCAAGCAAAGTATTTTTAGGAAAGCCCACAGGCTTCTGACCATGCTCACTGTCTGTGGGGAAAGGAACTGGAGGCAGGGTGTGGTTGAGGAGACCGCTCATGATATAATCTTTGACCTCTCTGCATCTGAACCATGTCAACATTATTACTCATTCAAAAATTATCATCTTTTTATAAAGTATCTTTGGGATACACACCAGAGATTTTTGGTTACAGTTCTGGAAGCAGACCCACCAGGGATCCCTCACCACCCCCCAATAAGCACCAGCCAGCCCCCACCCCGCACCCCACATGCCACTCACCTGTAGCCTTCTTTGGCATCCTCCAGAGCCAGCTGCTTGAACTCCTCATACATCTTCTTGTTGAAGTGATCTCGGAGGAAGAAGGACCAGAAGCGGAAGAGAGTGTTCATCTCCTGAGACTGGCCAATGCCCAAGCGTTTCCGCTCTGATGGGGGAGGAAAGAGGAAAGACGTGTCAGGGCCACATTGCCTGTGATTCAGGGGACAAACGTTCTTGGGCTCAAGGACTTGGTCCTTTCTCCTATACCCCCTCCCCCACCAATTCCCTGGCTCATCCCTGTCCTTCTGGTGAAGAGAGTTACTGAACATGATCCTGCGTCAGGCCCTGCTGCTGGGCACGTAGAAGCAGGTGGCATTGGTTTCTAAACCAAGTCACTGCAGTCTAGCTTTTCACCTCAAATACGACTGCTCTCAAGCATAGTTGAACAAGGAAAAGCATCAAGAAATAATTTGGTAATCTAACATATTAATTATTCATTACCAATTATTATTTCAGGAATCCTAGATATTAACAATTACAAAAGAGTAACATTAAAAACACACACCATAGAACAAACAACAAAAGAGAACATAAATTTAGTATCATTAAAAAAAACCACAGGCGCCTGAGTGGCTCAATCAAGAATCTGCCTTCAGCTCAGGTCTTCGTCCCAGGGTTGTCGGATCGAGTCCCGCATCGGGTTCCCTGAGCCTGCTTCTCCCTCTGCCTGCCACTCCCTTCCCTGCTTGTGCTCACGCTCTCTTGTTCTGACAAATAAATAAAATCTTAAAAAAAACTACTAAAAACAAATAAAAGAGATTTCCTTAAAATAAAAATAAAATAAAATAAAATAAAAACCTGTGCTTCAAAGGACACCATCAACAAAGTGAAAAAACAGCCACAAAGTGGAAAACAGTATTTGCAAATCATGACTCTGATAAGGGACTTGTACCTACAATATATAAAGAACTCTTATAATTTAATAATAAAGACAAATAATCTAGTTAAAAAGTAGGCAAAGGATCTGAATGGACATTTCTCCAAAGACATACAAATGGCCAATAAGCCCATGAAAAAAATGTTCAGCACGAACAGCTATTGGGGGGGGGGCGCGTAAATATAAACCCCCAGGAGGTATTACTTATCACCTCATACCTACTAGGATGGCCATTACCAGAAAGACAGACAACAAGTGCTGGGAGGACTCAAAGCCATCAGAAGCCTCATGCTTTCTATCAGGAACAACAAAGGGCGGCCCCTCTTTGGGAAACAGTCTCACAACTCCTCCGAAAGTTAAACAACAGAGTTATCACATGACTCTGCACATGAAAACCTACGCCCACAGAAATATGGACATGTTCATGGCGGCATTATTCAGCACAGACATAAAGTGGAAATCCAAAGGCCCATCGGTGACGGAGAGACAGATGTGACATTACATGTCCCTCTACTGAAGTGCTAGCCGGCCTCGGACAGGAGTGCAGTACTGGTACCGTGCTACCACAGAGATCGAGTGTGAGAACAGCACGCTCGGGCAAGAGGCCAGCCACAAAGGACCGCTGATGAGATGATTCTATTTACAGGAAAAGTCTAGAACAGGCAAATCCTTAAGACTGCGGGTTGTGCAGGCCTGGGAGGAGCTGCAGGGGTGGAGGTGGGAAGTGACTGGCAAGGTGCACAGGGTCTCTTCCGCGGTGCTAATGAAAAATGTTCCAACATCGATGCCGGGGACAGACACACAATGCTGGAATATACTAAAAGCCACTGGATGACACCGCGCACTTTAAATGGGTCGACTGTGGAGTATGTGAATTCTATCCCAAAAAAGCAGTCACCACACCCAAATACACAGGGGAGTAAGGCAGAGGAGCGAAGCACTCAGCAGCCATGTGCTGCTAACTGAGAAGGGGCGTGAGGGGGAATTAAAGTAACGACTCCGCGGGAGCGCTGAGACTGCTTCTGAGCATCTTCACAGCCAAACCGACAATCTACAGTTAAAAGACGTCTCACTGTGTGATAAAAGGAAACACATGGGAATATCTAGACAGTCTCTCCTTATACCATCTTCTAAAAGCAGGGGTCAGCAAACTTTTTTCTATAAAAGACCAGAGTAAATATTTTAAGCTTTATAGGCTTCATGTGGTCTCAGTCGTAGGTTCCTCTTTTTTCCTTCATAACCCCTTAAAAATGTAAAAACTTTTCTAAGCTCAAGGGCCATACAAAAATAGGCAGCTAGCTGGATTCGGTCTACAGGCCACGGCTAAGCCGCCCCTGTTCTAGGAATCTATGCCGCCCCATGCACACCCTTTTATGATCAACAGTGGGCCACGGTGGACAACAGCTGACTTAACAGCCATGCCAGAAATAGGTAAACTTTTGATACCTTTTTATTATCAATAGAGGAAGATCAAGGAACAGAAATGTTCTGAGTATCAGATTCTTTTAGCTTCCTGTATTCCAAAACTACGTGGCCTGAGTCTAACTCTAATCCTTCTTGCTCTAAGGTCAGAAGAAAGCAGAATCACCTGCTCCACCAGCCCTTACACTCTGGCCCCCGAGGCTAGGAGGCTAGGCCCCTCTGCCCCTGTGCTTCTTACCATTAAGGCAGCGCCTACGATACTTGTGGTAGACGTGTTGTGTGAAGCCATTTTCCTTGAGCAGCTCATGGGAAGGGTGCTGGAACTTGGGCAGAGACTGTGGGGTACAGCCGTAGCTGCCAACTGCAGGTGTCCCTTCTGAGGGGCTGGAGCTAGAGGCCAGGAGAGAGACAGTGTCACCAGGTTCCCTGGAGCAGCTGGCCATCAGGTAAGGAGGGGCTCCTCTGGTCCATCAGCCAAGATCTAGCCTCTCAAAGGGCAACAAAGAGACCTAAGTACTATGGTAGGCCAACCAACATCCTTCGGCCCGATCACTCTTCGAGTAGACCTTTGATGGGTTTTACAAAGTAGCCACTGAGGCTCACAGAAACTGGTAGACTTGTCTTGGGGTCATGGACTGTTTTACATCCCAGATCGGCACAATGCCCAAACCTGAGCTTATAAGCATTTATTTACCCCAAGTTCACATTTAAGTTTGTTTGATGAACTATTATGGGGTGATCCATCTGTATTTTTCTTTAAAACCACACCTATTCCCAGTCTGTGCCATCTGTTCAGGGAGTAGAGTGCACAGGTCAGTGGCTCCCAAATGTTGCTCTTGAACAGGGAAATCTGGGGCAATTTTCCTGGGGGTGGGGTGGGGGGGACCTGAACCCTATCCCCAAGAAGCTGAGTCAGTAGGTCTAGAGTGGGGCCCAGGAATCTGTATTTTTCTTTAATGACCTGGCTATCCTGAGGCAGGCAGCAGGTATCTACCTCCAAAAATCAATTCACAGATACTCTCTAAGAGCCTCTGGTCTGAGGGGCTGCGACACCACTTCTTTGGGAAAATCTTCCCAGGCCCTAGATTTACTTCTCTAGACTTCTTCAGATTTTTGGATTTAGGTAAGGGCCCCTTCTTTAATTTACAGACCAAAGAGGGTCCTTCTTCTTGGTCCCATCTACTGCCTGGCTTTCCCGCCCACCCTGTTGTCAGCCTCATCTCTCCTCTCCACTGCGCCAGCACCTGATGGATGCCGTCCGGGGCCTGTGCTCTCGGGAATCCATCACCCAGCCCACGTGACTCTCCAGGGGTGGGTTTGAGCTGTGTCTTGTCTTCCTTTTTCGAGGCATCTGCAAAGGTCAGTCCAGAATATGTTATTAACTCACAGAACTCTGAGAAACACCAAGCATTTGTAGGACTAAGATTCCTTCATGTGTGTGAGTTCTTCACAATTTACAAAGAATTTTTGTTATCTAGTCTCTCACACATGAGGTCCACAGCTCTGAGCCAGAGACTGGTCATGTCTATCCCACAGGTGAGGAAACTGAGGTTTGGGAGCCCAAGGAGCCACAGCTGGTCAATCCTCCTTAGGCCTTATCATGGCAACACGGGGCCACCACTCTCACACCCAGTGCCTTCCTCAGATGTGGCCACTCGATCCCGAGGCGGCCCACCATCCTAAAAACACAGAACAGGTCTGGGATTTGGCAGTCTCTTGGCTCAGGCAAGGGAACGCAGCAAAGCACTGGAATGTGGTAAAGTGAGCCCAAGACTCTTAGCCACGCAGCAGGAGCCCCTCACCTTGGCATCTAGCGTCCGTCCTTCTTTCACTACTGGGTAAAACCGTGATGTCTGACTTGAGTCTTTGAGCTGTGGTGTCCGGGGAGTGCGGGGGGTCCTGGCATTGCGGTAGTTTGGTGACTCTGGGACAGTGGTTGGTAGAGAACGGGCGATGGTGGAGGGCTCAGGAGCACCAAACAGTTTGTTGGCCAGGGCGTCGGTGGGGACTGCAGAGAGAGAGAGAGAGAGAGAGAGAGAGAGCGAGCCAGTGAGCAGGGGCGGGCCTGTGACTGACTGCATCTGGGAAGCCCCCCGTCAGAGGGCTGTACTCTCCCACCTAGGCCAGGTGGTACCCCTCTCTCACCTTGTTGGAAGCGGGGTGGCCCAGGAGGGACCTCCTGGTTGGGATCCACGGGGGGCTCTGGGGTTAGTGTATCAAACTGCTCCCGGCTGATCATATTGACTTTCTTGAAGTTCTCGACTTCTTGCTGTGGAGGATACAAAATGGGTGGGGTGTTGGTGTTAGTAAGAAGACTGCCCCAGCCTGTTTAGGAATCAAGACGTGCAGGAAGTTGCAGGGGGCAGCTCCCACATCCACATACCTGGAATTCTGGTCCCCAGGCTCTCAGCTGCCCCACACCATTCCCTATCCCCAGTTACCTGGACACCAGCGTGCTGACCCAGAAGGACTGAGTGCTGGCCCAGCCCTCTTTGCAGCAAGGCTAGATGAGGAGCTCCCCACAGGCCGCTGACTCTCCTCTTGCCACTGTCTCCTCACCGCCACCAAACTCCCTGCTGCTTACTATTGCACAGGCTCACCTCACAGCTACTCTGGACAAACCTGCAAGTTTTGACTGTTTCCAGTCAGCAGTGATTTTTTTTAAAAAACCTGTCTTTTCTCTAATTTCCATACTCAAAACAGGCTCCTGAAAACTTTTATATAGGCCTAAATTTTTAAGAAGAGAAGTAACAATCCAGTTTGTTCTTCTCTTCCCCACACGTGTGGCTGTCAGGACATTAAACATGGATTCTGAGGCAGCACAGTGATTGCCTCTCACAGTGACACAGCTTACAAAGTGTCTCTCCATCTCTCCTCACTCCATGCCCCAGCAAAGTGTCAATTACCACCCTCTCTTCATACACAAGGATACTGAGACTCTTGCCCAAGGGCACACAGTGAATCAGCCTGCCTCTCTCCCGCAGATTACAGACACCCCAGGCTCCACCCCCACTGCTGTGTCCAAGCCTCACCTTGATCTGGGAATACTCAGGCTCAAACTTCTCGGTCCACAGGTCCTGCTCGTAGTAGAAGAGCCCATCGTTAATGACCTTGGCCAGCTCCGCGCTCATCTTGGCACGCGAGGTATGGTTGCCTGTGCGGTCCCCCCCAGGGTGCCGACGCATATAAGGCGGCGTCTGGGTGACAATGAGGATCTTGTTCACATCCCGGTCATCAATCTCATAGTCAGAATCCTCATCAGACCAGGCGGTGAAGGTGTTCTTCCGCCCATCCATTTGCTCCATCTCCTCGTCAAACAGGAAATCGAGCTCCTCTTGCTCCTCCTGCTCCTTGGACATAAGCTGCTGAGAGGGCAGCTGCTGAGGCAGAGAGGTTGGGTGGAGGAACCTGGGCTCCTCGGACTTCTAAAATGGGAAAGATGAAGAGTGAGGGGTGAGATTACCAGTGGGTCTTGGACTAGCCTCTGTAGCTGTCGCCTAGAGAGAGGCCCTGGCAACGCCAGCAAGCCACAGCTGCCGGCCTTGCAGCCTGTCCCCTACGACTCCAGGCTTCCTCTCTCCCAGCTGACATCACAGTCATTCTCAAACGGTGAGGGGACAAGGCCCTGTAGCCACCTGTGCTCTCATTTACCTAGCCTGGGAGTGGGCACACGATTCTACAGGTTGATCCATCCATTCCATCTATCCAAAATCTCTCCAAGAAAAGGAGAGCTTCATCAGACAGGGACCACGGCTGCCTTGCTTTCCATCATATCCTTAGTACCTAGACAAGGACTTAGCAAGAGCAGATGCTCAACTCTTTTTTTTTTTTTTTCTTTCCATTTGACACAGAATGAGAGAGAGACAGGGAGAGAGGGAACACAAGCAGGGGGAGTGGGAGAGGGAGAAGCAGGCTCCCCACTGAGCAAAGGGCCCGATGAAGGGCTCAATCCCAGGACCCTAGGATCATGATGAGCTGAAGGCAGACGCTTAACTACCCCAGATGCTCAACTCTTTGATGAGTTAACAAGAACCCACTGATACCAGGCCCTATAGAAGACACAATCCTTGAACTTAAGGCAGCTCACAGTTTGGCGGGAGAAAAGTCAAACCACCGGCCAGCCAAATGCAGTGTGGTATTGGTCAAGAGTAAAAACAGAATTTGTGAACTACACAGGGATTGGCACTTAACCAGCTAGAGGTGGGAGTGAGGACAGTCAGAGAAGGCTTCCTGGGAGATGTAATGACAGAAGAAGGAGGAACATAAGTAAGCCAGATGAAGGCAGGAACAAAGAGTGTACAGAAAGGACAGCATGTTCTAGAGGCAAGAGAAAATAGGCTGCTTCTGGCAAAAAGAAAATATTTCAGAGTGTTGCTAGGATGAATTTATCTGAGACCTCAGGGCAGAAGCATTTGTCTACCTCACAATTTCTATCCAAAAGGTCAATTCCCTCCTATGCAAAAAACTTCCCATATAAACTCCAAACCTACTCTCTCTTAAGCTTTAGGATAGGCCCGGTGGGAACAATAGGGCTCTAATTGTGGAATGGGGGCTAAGCCTGCCTGCCTTTCCAAACCTTAACAGCCTATAGGGCTGGAACTCCTAAGGTCCCTCTCCAATGTTCTCCTCGTGACTCTGGCCTGATCCCTGACACTGTGTGAAGGATCACAGGCAGAACAGAGAGGGAAGTCGGGGTATGAACAAGAGGGAGGCAGTCTCAGTGGCACAATGGAAAGGGCACACAGCATTTCAGAGACCCAAAGTCCAAGGTCATCTGTGAGGCCTCCTCACAAGCCCTAAACCAAAGAGATCTCCCAAGAGAAGGTGGGGAGTGGGAAAGATGGAGCACACATTTGCTCCTGGAAAGGGGGCACTAGTTTTAGTTTGAAATGGAAACACGTCTCAGAGTGGACTCAATGTGTACTACTGGCATATTGCTTTACAATTTCTAGAGCAGTCTAAGCCCTTCTTTCTTTCCTCTGAAGATGGGAACACTGAAGACTTGAGATACTAAACAACAAGCTTCCCAAGGTCAACAGCCATCAGTGATAGGAAACCTGTGTTCATGTCTAGACTAACTCTACATCCAGGCTGTGTGTCTGCTCTTTCCCTTCGCTCTTCAGAGCCTGAGTGGCTTATACAGGGGACAGTGAGGACACGCTCGGGCACTACGGCAGCCCCAGTGATTTCAATGGGACAAAACAAAGAGCCAAACACCAAGAAACCAGGGACACTGCTGCCAGGGGCCGTATGAGTTACTCCTGTGAAGAATGGCACTCAGGAACTCACACAGCGGGGGCTGTCCTGAGAGGTGATCCTCATTGGAAGGGGACACGAGCCCAGCGGCTTACCCACAGTCACTGCTGACCTCGGCTCGCGTCACAGCCAAGAGCCAGCCAGCCTGTGGGCTTAGCCCCTCTGAGGCCCAGCCCCACCCACCTTGGGCCGTGCTGGGGACGGCCGCGGCCTCTTCTTTACTTCAATCCAGTTCTCAGAATCCAGGTCAGGCAGGCTGGCAGACAGGCCCTTGGGCAGCGTCTTTAGGTTGCTGACCTCCTCTGTTTTGGTTGGCACTGGGGTGACGGCCCGGGGAGAACCAGGCGCTGACTCTGAATGGTGGAAAGGTGAGGTCCTCAACCTTCCAGTCCTCCTCCTGACACCAGCTCTGAGGAGGAGTGCTGGCTGAAGGATAAGGACAACAGGAAGGCGCCCACAGGCCAGCAGTACCTACCTGTCTCCTTCTGGTAATGCTGACGGGGCACAAACTCGGGGCAGTTGAGAAGCTGGGAGAAATCAGTCTGGGAATAATCCACTATTGGGGGACCAGGAAGAGGCCATTTCTCTGGCTCCTCCCTCCTGCGGACTTTCTCATCAACGATCTCCACCACCTTGCTGTCCTTTAGGGCCTGTGGGGGAGAAGGAAGGAGATGATATAGAGGAATGACTCAGACAGAATGAGGTCTGGGCAGCTGGCAGATGGATGACTGGGCCCCACGAGCTCAGTTAAGAGTTTGGTGCTGAGGCGGGTATAAGAAAACTGGCACCATCTTCCACAACTGGCATCGGATTACGAGATGTTCAAACTTATAAGAAGGGACCAACATGAAAAACACACCTGCCCCATGACCTTGCCATTCGATATCTAGCAATCTACCCCCAGAGAAATAGGGCCATAGACAGATTACATTATGTGTAAAGATACAGATAAAAAGCCATTCACAACATCATCTGTAATATGGAAAACACTAGAAACTACCCAACTTGCCACACACCAACAACTTAAAATAAACGATGACATACCCATTCAGTGCTATACGACTCAAGACACTAAAAGACTCAAGACACTAAAAAATAGCTTCGCATGTGCTGAGGGGGAAAGAGCCATAAAAAAGCAGGCCTAGGTCAATGTGTCTAAGATGCCACTGGTGTTCCAATTTTTAAATAAATACAAACAAACTACATACACATTCTTTTAGGATTCACAGGTAAACGCCTATGGGTGTTCATCTCTAGGAAAAAGGGTGAGAGTGGAGAAGGGAGGAGAGCTGTCTTTAAGAATCTTTGCAGTGGAAGGCAGACATTTCCACAGTGTGACACAGGACAACACGCTCTGTCGGTGAGGCCACAGCTAGAGGCGCTCTGCTATACTGCTGGCCCGAGTCCCTGAGGAAAAGGAACCCAGCAATTTGCCCCACAGTGCAGCCTTCTCACTTCTAGAAATCTACATCAAAGATACACTGGCAAAAATACGGCAAGATATATATGCAGCTCTAAGCAGGAACGACAAACATCCTTCTCTTATGTACTACCATGCAGTCAGCTCCCAAATGTATTAAGTGAAAGCAAAAGAACAGGTGAAGAAACACATGCATTACATGGTGCCATCCAACTAACACAGGGGAAGGATACAAATACACAGAGTGGCATTTGCTAATTTTTTTTTAATGGAAGGATTCAAAACAAGTTGCCTATGGGGAATAAAAGGAAGGCAGAAGTGAGAGAATTTTAAATCGGACTTCTAGGAGGATACCATGTTGACTTTAGAACCATGTAAATGTTTTACCTAAATGCAAAACAAATTAGAAATTAGAGGGGAAAAAGCAATCCCTAAAACTTGAGAGCAAGATGAAACTAACAAAACACATGTATGTCAAACTAGAGACAAAACCACACAAAGATTATTCCAAGTATTTGAGAATACAGTCATTTGAGGTATAAAGTAGCAAACCCCCCCACACACATTTTTAGTAGTAGTAGAGGTATTATTACGAGAATAAGGTATATAAACTATCGAATAAAACAAATGAGTAATTACGTTGAGGTCAACAGCAATGAGGACTTGGGGTCTAGGAGAAAGGAGTATTAGACATAAAAGATCATTGGTATTGGGCGCCAGGGTGGCTCAGTCGGTTAAGCGACTGCCTTCAGCTCAGGTCATGATCCCAGAATCCCAGGATCAAGTACCGCATTGGGCTCCAGGTCCATGGGGAGTCTGCTTCTCCCTCTTGCCTTCTCCTCACTCATGCTCTCTCTGTCTCTCTCTCAAATAAATAAATAAAATCTTAAAAAAAAAAAAAGACCATTGGTATTAAGTAAAGACTGTGTAATCCTGAACTTTAATAGAAAATATCAGTATAATTTCCTGATGTATTAAAAAAAAAAAAAAAAAGCTCTAGAAACAATGACCAATCAAAGCAGCAACAAACATCCCTATAACTCAGACTGTGTGGTACATAAACACCATTTCCCCAAGAGAGGACTTAGAGCTCCTTGAAAAAATGGCCTATTCCAGATCTGAGGCAGGAAGTGTACGAGATCAAGCAGGGCTCTGCTAGCCGCAGAGGGAAACTGGGTTCAGCACAGGAACTGCAACAGGCTGAGACTGCAGTAAGGCTGAACCCACAGGTCTGGGATGCTACTAAAAGACATGAAAGCAAAACAAAAACCAACCAAACCAACCCAAGCCCTTGAAAGTTATTAGGGATCAACTCATAATTCTGACAACTGGTTAACAAAGGGAAAGATCAAGCTTTTATCCGCCCTTTCTGTACAAACCATACCTCTTGGTAACTGAATAGCCGATGAGGCAAAGTCCCTCCTTAAAAAGGTATTCCGGCTAACAAATGAAGACAGAGCGATAGAATTAGAATTTCACCACTCCACAGTCCCTACTGAAGTAGCAGGCAGTGATGGACAGCAGCTTGCCTCACAAGGGAACAAATGAAATGCTCTGTGCCACCGAGAGAACGTATCTTTACCTATAAAGGAGTCTTAAAAAAAGGGGAGGAAAACCCCCCAAACCTGAATCTGATCAGGCCTCGGCATCAGCAGTTTACACAAAATCTGGAATACAGATGAACACGTCAGATGCCACCACTGTGTCCCGTGAGAAATTAGACAAGATACACAACCCAGTTTTATCCAAATAATGAGTTGCAAGGAAAAAGACAGGGGAAGAGGACACTTAGCAAGACAACACATAGGTCTTATTTGGATCCTGATTCTCATCAAGTACAAAATTTTTTTTTCCCCCCAAATAGGGTGAATTGCAACGGACGGTTTGGACATACTAAGGAACTGTTAATATCTTTATATGTGATAATGATACGCTGACCACGTTTTTTTTGTTTTTTTTTTTTAAACCAGGTATTTATCTTTTAGAGATAAGTATTAAAACATGTATGAAATGTCAGGTTACCTGAGATTTTCTGCAAAGTAATTTGGAAGAGGAAACAGATGGGGGATAGATGGAGTAAGACAGGCCATGAGTTGACAATTGCTGAGGCTGGGCGATGGGTTCATCATACCATTCTGTCTACTTCTGTAAATGTCTGCAATTTTCCATAGTAAGAGGGAGAGAGAGGAAAGAAGGAGGGAGGCAGAGAGGCCAGCCAAGCCTTGAAGCTTTAGCAGAGGTCATCAGATGAGGACTCCTCCAGGATTCTCTGCGGGGGCCCACACTCCAGCTCCGTTAAGTAAGGACCTTTCCTTCCCCTGCACCCCAGCCCCAGGGAGGGAGACCTACCGCAAAGATGAGTGAAATGTCAGTGGTAAGGGCCTGCACTCGGTGGAAGGAAGCAATAAGGGTGATGGGAAGGAAACCGTCAGCATCCATTTTCCGTCGCAGGAAGAAGTCTCGCTCTAAATTGTCCACGCTGAAGTAGTATTCGCTAGGTGGAGGGGAGAAGATGGAGGGTTGCTGCGTCACTTAGGAGACTGCCTTTCTCAACCTGTATGCCCCAGCCACCTCACATAGCCTCTGACCAACCCTGACCCTATCGTACGTATGTACAGTATTACAGGCTGAAAAGAAATGTTATCCTGTTGTGGCTCCCTAACCTTGGGTCAGACCCATTACCCCGGCCCTTCAGCCTCGCTGTGCACCTGGCAAACCCCTCATCCGCCTTTACAACCCAGTTCCACTGTTACCAATCACCTTCTCTTCTCCCAAAATACTGTCACACTCTCCTGAAATGATCTACTTCCTTATATGGCTTCCCCACTGGACCAAGGGACAATATATGGGAGTGGTTAGGAGCTAGGGTTTTGCCATCAGACAGAAATGGGTAAAATCTGTGCCTTGTTGTTTACCAGCTGTGAGACTCTGGGCAAGTTCCAGGGTCTGTCTGCTCATCTCCGAAATGGAGGTAAGACCTAGCTCACAGAACTAGTGCAGGACTAAGTAAGACAATCCTGTAAAGCACTTAACACTGCACCCCGCCAACAGGGAGAAACCTGCACGTGTCTGCCAGCATTCTGACCATGCCGCCATTACAAAGAGAGCTGCTGAGCGGGTAGACACCGGACATTCCCTCTCCTTTTCGTTGGTGGTATTTCTAATTTTCTTAGGGCAGATATGGTATTACTTTTGCAATAAATATTACCTTTATGAAAAATCAGCTTTTAAAGAATAAGCAGCAGTTCTCTCTCTCCCAGTTCCAGCCAGGGGCAGCCTCTGGGGCTAGCAGAGCACCAGGAGGACCTGCCCATCGCTGCTCTGCCCACCAGCCACCCTCTGACAGGTCCCGACACCCTACGCCTCTTCAGGAAGAAGGCTCCCGTCCACTCACATCTGCCGCTTGATGTAGTCTTTGAGCAGCTCCTGGTCCACACTGTAAAGCTCAGTGCTGCTGACATTGTCAAAGTAGTAGGTGATGTTGTTCATGTACTTGGGGGTACGAGGCCCCTCTGCACCGTCAAACTTTCGGTAGCCAAATTGGTAGTCAAAATGGGCTACGGGGCAAATGGGTGCCATAAGGGAGGGGAGATCCCTGCCCACCGCCCCCGCCACACTCCCTCGGACATCCCGGAGCCCAAAGGGGCCTCACGTACTTCGAGTGCCACCCCGGCCGCGTCCCCGGCCGCGACCACGCCCCCGTCCACGGCCACGGAAGGAAGCCCGCGCCCCACCAGCCCCATCACTCTTCACACTCGATGTCTCGTCCTGGTCGTGCCAGGCAGGCTCCGGTTTGGTCTCTGGTTGCCAGGCTGGGGTTGGGGGGGCCATGGGTACGGGCACGTAGGTGGCAGGCTCAGACCCTATGGGGAGAGGGGCACTGGGTCATGCCTGAGGGTGACCCCCGTGTCCAGGCGCTCCACAGTGGGCGGTGCATACCTTTGATCTCCCCTCGGTTGGCAGCTGTGTGCCGCGGCTCTGGTGGGCGAGCAGGGCGCGAGACCAGTTTTTCTCTGGGCACTTCAGGCTTCATGTCTATTTGCAACGGAACCCACTTGTGTTTGCTCCCTGGAGGATGGCATGGGGACATGAGGAAGTCTTGAAGGAGAGGTCCCTTCTAGCCATCTCTACCTCTGTTACTCCTCTGTCTGGAGCAAAAGGTCTGATTCCAATCTGATGACCTTGGGCAAATTCCTCCTCCCACACTGGACCTCATTTTTACCTCTAAAATAAGGAAGCTATGGACCTCAGGGAGACAGTTAGTCCTGGCTGACTCCTAGTATCTATTTCTCCATGGTCGGAGAACCCCCTTCTGGGGCCAGACACATGGGGGCCCAAAATCGAGACTGCACTTCCAGGCTCCCTTTAGACATGTGCCAAAATCCTGTCTACAAGAGCTACGTTAAAGTAGTCAATTCCAGGCTGAGTCCTTCAAAGGGAGCTACTCTCCCCCTTTTCCACTCCTGCTAGTTGAAATGCGAAGCAAAGAGTGAGCCACCCTGGACGAGAAGAGCCAACACACCACAGCAAGAGGAAAGGAAAACGAGATGAAATGGTCGCCATTCTAGAGCTGGCCTACTTACACCCAGCTGTCAGGTGAGAGAAAGAACCTTCTATCTTGTTTAAAACACTGTTCCTTTGAATCTCTGTTAGAGAAGCCAACCCCTAGCCCTGAACACCTTAGCCAAGGAAATGGGAACTCTTGCCTTTAAACAAAATCTTACATGGGACGGCAATACAGCAAAATACACTGATTATTCTGAGGTGGGGACCTCATCTGCTCTGTGCACTGCTAGGAGCCCGACTGTTGAGAACAGGGCCTACCGATGCTTGTTAAGTAACACAAGGAACTGACAGACGGAAGGCAGAAGTGAAGACTACGGCTCCAGAGGCCCACGTCAGTCAGCCTCCCAAGGAGTTCTCGGGGCTCCGGAAACCCATCTGGCAGCCCCAAGTTCTGATGCTTCTCAGCCCTGCCGCCAGGTCACTCACCTTTCTTCTTCTGGCCCCCTCGCTGGCAGTCCTCGTCCCCATTCTTCTCCTCCCCAGATTCATCTGATTTGGTTTTCGGGCTCTCTTTACTATCGCTTCCCTCTCCTTTCTCCTGTTCCTTCATGTCTTTTCTGGGTGGCAGCTTCCGGGCAGGCTGGGACTTGTGGGACTGTGGCTGCAGTGGGAAGCAGAGTAATAGGGAGGTGAGGTGTACCCGAGAGCCTCCTGGGATGGGAGAGGAGGGAACCCCTGCTACTAGAGAGACAGGGCAGGAACTAGGAACTGAAGCATGTGACGAGTTGGACTAGATGTATTCTTAGGTCCCGTTTTTATGCCTGAGAGGCTTCCACTGGGAAGCGTGGTCAGGCAGGCAGCAGGTGGGAGACAATCTGTCTCTCCATCTTCCTTGAGTCTTGACAAACAACCCTCAGGACACAGGGGCTATATATTTACTCCCCACAAGTCCATACTGTCCTGGCAGTCTGTGGCATGGAAGAGCTGCTGGCCCTCAGCTTGTCCACAGCAACCCTGTCTGTGGCATGAAGGCCAGAAGTCACAGCTAGTGAGGAATCTAGGCCATCAGCCCAGCACAAAAACACCAGAAAGACAGGACTCATCTGGAGTTCCTCCTCTGCTGGGACTAGTGTGTGCTACAAAAGCTTCCCTAAGACATATGGTCTAGAGATGGGTACTTGGCCTAATGGCCAGTCTCCTGCTTCACTCACTAGCAACCCAAGTACGGCTGATGGAAAACACAAGCTCTGGAACAACGTAACACACTTGACTTCCAATCCCCACTTGACCATCAAGGGCTGGTTATGAGCCTCTCCCAAGGGCTCACAGTTATTATCTTCAGTGGCCTCATCTTTAAAACAGGAATTGCTAAAGGACCTGTCTCTAAGTCACCGTGAGGGACAGGTGCAATGGTAAGCAGCACTTGGCAGTTCCTGACATACAGCAAGGGCTCAAATGATGATGATCCTTAGCTATTTCAGCGAGTAAGGTAAGATCCAAGGCTCTGACAACTTAAGAAACCAAATGTGTGTATGTCCAGAGCATTCAAACCTGCCCATTCTTCCCCACAGACGTACCTGTACACTCTTGTGGGCTATCTCTCCAGGTGTGGGCCAGTTGATTGCATCTCCAAAGTCACCAACCTGCAAGACACATTCTATGAGGGCCCTGGGGTGGCCTTCTCTCTGCCATTCAGCCCCTCACCCCACATACCATTCCCCCATGAGATCAGACGCCATAATCAGTCTGTCCACTACAACCATCCACACTGGAGGCCCAGAGGGGCTCCGCCACTACTGAGAAGATCCAAAACTACCCGGAAGCTCAGAAGAGGCCACCCCCTCTTTCTTCAAGAAAGTCCCCTTCGGTTGCTTAGGTCTCCTTACCTTGCTGCCTTTGCGCTGTTTAGGAACTGCCGCCCTCACCACTTTGGCTGGAGCAGAATGTTCTGTGGGAACAAGAAGGGAGAGGTGGTTATGCAAAACCCATGGAGGGGGGCCACCACTAGCTCCTCACCCTCTTTACCATCCCTACACCATCAAACAACCTGCAGGTTTCCAAAGGAGGAAGACGTGAAGAGGGAAGGACACAGCAACAACTGTACCAGCCTCTCGGAAGCAATCACAGAAAGTGAGATCATGGACACAAACAGCAGCCAACAGCCCAGGAACTCAACTCTGAAGCAGAAAGGCCCTCCCAGCTCTGCACCCTCCCATAAAGAGGGCCCTGAGTCCTGGGGAGGGTAAAAGTCCATGACTGAGGCCATGCCAGAGCCGGCTCTATAGCGGAAGGATCCCTAATCCCAGCAGATTCCAAAAAGGAAGGATCTGAAAGGCCTTCTCGGGCTCTAATACTGTGGAAGCCTGTGTGTGAGCAGGCCCAAGCTAGTGATCACGGGGAAGGCAAGATAAAAACCCTGAGCTGGCAATCAAGTCCAGGGCTCTCTCTTCTAAGCTTCCCCATCCCCTCACCCAGGCCAGCTCAGTCCTCAATGACTGCAGTCAACAGAAGGGTTAGCCACTCAGGAAAGACTGCTCTCCAAATTCCCAAAGCAAAAGTGAGACCCACTTGACTCAATGGTCCCGCCTTTAGGAATTTATCCTAATCATACAAATTAGATGCGTGTTTAGAGTTAACGTAAAAACCTGTAGTACATAACAGAAGTGCTATGTCTAACTTTAAAAAATTGAAAACCTTTCATGTCCAACAGCAGAAAAATGGCTAAAGAAATTAGTTCAACAATTTTTAGAGCAGTCATTAAAAAAGAAAATGTTCTCTGCCAGAGATAAAGCATATGAAAAGATAAACGCAATAAATGAGAAGAGTTGCAATCTTATTTATTAAGATTTTATTTATTTGTTTGACAGAGAGACAGCGAGAGAGGGAACACAAGCAGGGGGAGTGGGAGAGTGAGAAGCAGGCTCCCCGCTGAGCAGAGTCCAATGTGGGGCTTGATCCCAGGACCCTGGGACCATTACCTGAGCCGAAGGCAGACAATGAACGAGTGAACCACCTAGGCACCCCTGCAATCCTCTTTTTATAAAGCAAATAAAAAACATGTATATTTAGGGGCACCTGAGTGGCTCAGTAAGCTGAGCACCAATTCTTGGTTTCAGCTCAGGTCATGATCTATCTCAGAGTTGTGAGCCTCACACGCTCAGCGAAGTCTCCTTGAGATTCTCTCTCCCTCTCCCTCTGCCCTTCCCCCTGCTTGCTCAAGTTCTTTCAACTATTTTTAAAAAGCCCCATGTATATGAACATATACACCAGTAGGACTATCTAGAAGGCCATATAACTAAATATTAGTAGGAGTAAAGTAGTATGTTAACAGTGATTTAATTCTGTTTGGAATTTTCCGGTCATTTCAACAAAGACATGGGCTTTTTATAAAAAGAAAAGAAAAATTTAAAGGAAGTAACTCTAAAAGGTCTGGTCCCTTCTACACCTACACTTATTTTCCAAACACACTTCTGAAGAACAAGGGTTTCTCGATCTTGCCACCCCCAGAGAGCCATGCGAAAAGGTACATCCTGGGGCTCTGCTCACCCACTTCTCTCCAATCACCTTGACTCCATTGTTGGCCAACCATGCCAAGGCAAGAGCTGCCCCCAGTCCCTGAGCAAAGAAATCTCCCTAGTTGGCCTCAAAGGAATTTTTTACCCTTTGAACAGACCCATGTTCTCTTAATGAGTAGAAAGAGCCTGTGACTATTGTGAGGCCACAGTATTCTTGACTTTCAAACCCTACCGGAGCCACTGCCCCTCAAGATACCCCACAGACCTTCAGAAAGCTGGAGCTGTGGAACCCAGCCCACAGCCTCTTCCATCCTCGGTGCCGGACAGGGGAAACCCAGAAAACCTCTCAGTCCCAAGAGGATGAAGCTTGTAGAACCAGGGAGCTACTATGCACCAACTTTCTTGCCAATCCTAGGTGGCCCCAAGAAGCTTACCACCCAGTTCCCCAAGTGGGCTGCTGCTTAAAGCTAGAACCTGGCAGAAGCAGCTGGTACAGGATCATCTCCCTTGACTACACCTGAGTTATGGCCGTAATCAGTTCTCCAAGAACCCATGCTCCAGCCCCCAAAACACTCCCTGCATGCTATCAGGACAAGAGCAGGCCAAGGGCCTGCAACTTCAAGTTCATTAACAAGGAGCAGGAAAAGAGAATCAGGCTCAGAGAGCAAGGTGTTCCTGGAGACTTTCCTTGAAAAAGTGAGGAAGAGTTCTTCAGGTCACTGTTTCTTCTAATAAAAACCCTTAAAATTGGGAGGAGTCCTATCCTGTGATCACCCTGCCTGACATTTCACCCACCAAGATCACAAAGGGACATGTAATGTACTGAAAGTTGGGGCTTTAATTAATGGGAGAGCCATCATGCCACTACAAGACCACAGTGAATCCCTATTCCCTCACCAACCCCAAGATGACTTGAGAAAATATGGCTGATCTGGACATACACAGGAATATTCTTCAAGGAGTCCTATGTGCAGTTTATTGAAAAAGCCTCATGCCTAGCTAGCCCCCTGCTGCCCCCAAGACCCATAGTGCCCTGCTCTTGTTCTGCTCACAGCTAGAACTTTAGACTGCCTCTACTCTAAGGAAAAACAAAGTCTCCTAGAGACGTAAGAGTGCACTAGGGAGAGAGAACTACTTCTGCCGTTATGTAAAATTCCTAGATCTGTTAAAATCCTGTGGGGGCCTAGGAGAAGCCGGGAAGGCTCGAATGCACTGCTGTCAGGCCCTGTGGGAGACCAGAAAAAAAGACTAGGCTTTCTGACTTCAGAAATCAGAAAATCAGAAATCAGAAATCAGAAAACACATTCCTTTCTGGGTCCCCATCCTCCCCACCCCCCAGCATCCTCCCTCACCAGGCAACCAACCAACACACTCTTCAGCTCCACAATATATACAGGGCTTGGCATCTGAAATGGCTCCCAGTGAAAACCAATCTTTTGCACAGGTGCCCGTCCCCACGTCCAGTATCATCCCAGCCAAAACAGGGAATAAGCCCCCTCCTTCCGCCTCTGCATTCTGACACTTGGGCCAGCTGCCACTGACCCAAGCCCAGCTCAGGAAACACTAAACTCGCCACCCTGCACCTGCACAAGAAAAAACAGTCATAGAAGGTTAGAGCAGCAAAAAGGACCATGGTTCTAATCCCTTCTGTCTGCAGATAGGGAACGGAGCCCTGAAGGTGCCTCCCTAGGAACAGCCAGGATGAGAGCCAGAAATCCCAACTCTCTTTGTTCAAGTGCTCTTCGGGCTTGCCATGAACCCCAGGTGTCCACCGGTAGGTTCAAAACTCCTTCCTGGTGCCATCTTGATAAACGGAGTTAATGAAGACAGAGATAGGTTCTCAGATACTGGAGGTACAAGTGTGGTGAGGCAGGCCCTGCTTGAGGCCCACCGTTCTAAGGGAGCAGGATGGCACAAAGGGGCTGCAGGAGGACCTTCCTCCTTGATAAAGGCAAGTCAGAAGCTACCAGGTAGCTGGAAAAGGAGAAAAGCCACTTTCTATCCCACAGGACCATCCTCAGCAAAGAAGTTGGTAATGATTCTAGTTCCAGGGAGTGAAGGGGCTTCCTAAATATACACCTGCATTTGGGTCTTAAATGAAGCCCACCAGAACCTCTCCTCTACGTCTGGTTGTGGTCATCGGGGTGGAACACCAGGAGACTTTGTGAACCTGGATCTGCATGGCCAACTCACCATTTTCATTCAGGTTACTGAGAGCAGCAGGCAGCAGGGGAGCTAAACCACCACGGCTAATGTAGGATAGCAGGGAACGAGGTGGGCAGAGGTGGGTGCCGAGCGGGGGGAGGGCAGAGGGCAGCTTCCCTGCAAAGTGGAGCAGCTGACTGCATAACATGCCGAGATTTGCTCTCTCAGCCTCAACTGCTGTCCCTTCATCCAAACACAGTGGAGGAGAGCAGACAGCCCATCGTAACCACACGGATTTATTATCTACTACACATTCTCTGCCCCCGGAGAACCCCTCTGAACTTGAGTTTCCTCATCTCTAAGACTGAAGTCCTGATTATCTCACAGCACAGCCATGACGGTTCCCTGAACAGAGAGGAGAGGGCCCAGCACACAGCAAATGCAAAATACTTCCATTCAGATTCACACACAAAGTTTACTACTTCCAAGTAATCTTCATCCTCATCATTAAAAAGGAAAAAACAGTCTCTCAACATGAAAAGAATCAGAATGTGTGGAGAAAAACTCCTCAGGATCAACCGGCTCAATTCCCTGATTCAGATTATAAGTGCCTGCCCCGCTCCCGCCAACTCCAGCCTGGCCCTTCTTCCGGACCCGCCCTGCATAGACAGGCTGGGCTCCAGGGCAGGTTTCCCCAGGAAAGAAGAAAGAAAAAGGGGGAAATTCACCAAAGGTCCCCGGGGGAGGCTTTGGCATAAGCCCCTGCCACGCCAGAGGAAGGAAGAGCACAGGGAAGGCTTGGACTTCTGACTTCAATTACAAATCCCTTTCTGGGTCCCCTCCCCACCAGCCTCAATTTTTTACATAGCATGGAAAGAAGAGAGCCTGGCCCCCAGGAGTATCTCTCAGCCTACAAAGGGACCAAACCCATAAACACCTGGTATGAAGCCAGATAAAACAAACAAACACACATTTTCTATACTGTTTTGTTCTAGAAAAATCCTAATGCTACTGACCCTTTGCAATAAAAGCAACCCAGAGGGGCCAGATCCAGGAGACCCCAAGAGCAAAGACTTGGTCTCCCAGTGAGAGACTAGAGGCTTTCGGGGAGAAGGCACAAGGGTGAGTCGAACTCATCAGGTCATGGACAAAAGAACTGGTAAGAGGGAGAAGCTAGAAATGAAACTGGGGGACAAACGTGGGTAAAAGGTGAGACCAGGCGGGGCCGGATGGTAGAGACGCTGCAGGCCTGAGTGGGTGGCCAGAGAGTTCAGCCTCAGTGCCAGCA